ACGCCGGATTCACCCATGAGGTTTGAGCTTCTCAAGGTATGCTAATGTCACCGGTCACGCAAATCCCGTTGAGTCTAACATAGAAGTGGCTGGCCAATAGTATGGTGAAATCCCCCTAGAACAAACAATCAAGAAACGGGTCATGAATATTATCCTGCATAACAAAACATCTCCTTCCGAGCTATCTGAGGTGAATGTCATTCTCGGTGAGACATTTGCCGCGGCCGTTAAGGAGTTCTGCGGACAGTACGATGTTGATATTTCGTCTATCGACGTTATTGGCTCCCACGGTCAAACCATCTGGCTTCTGTCTATGCCCGAGGAGGGTGAGGTACGCAGTGCTCTCACCATGGCTGAGGGCTCATTTATTGCCTCCCGCACGGGAATCACTACCGTGACCGACTTCCGAGTCAGCGACCAAGCAGCGGGTCGCCAGGGAGCACCACTCATTGCTTTCTTTGATGCCTTGCTCCTGCACCATCCGACAAAGTTGCGCGCCTGCCAAAACATTGGCGGAATTGCCAATGTCTGTTTTATCCCGCCTGACTCCCTGGGTGGCACTGATGCCTGCTATGATTTCGATACAGGCCCAGGGAATGTCTTTATCGATGCCGTTGTCCGACACTACACCAACGGCCAGCAGGAGTATGACAAGGACGGCGAGATGGGCGCTCGCGGCACAGTGGATCAGGATCTGGTAGATGAATTTCTACAAACTCATCCATACTTTCGGTTGGACCCACCGAAAACCACTGGCCGCGAGGTTTTCCGAGATACTCTAGCATTTGATCTCATTCGCAAGGCGGAATCCAAAGGTCTTAGTCCAGATGATGTCGTTGCTACTGTCACTCGCATCACCGCGCAGGCCATCGTCGATCATTACCGTCGCTATGCTCCCAAGGACCTCCCGATCGATGAAATCTTTATGTGCGGAGGCGGTTCTTATAATCCCAATATTACGCGATATATACAAGCACATTACCCTCACACGAAGATTCTCATGCTGGACCAAGCCGGTATCCCGGCTTCCGCAAAGGAAGCTATCACCTTCGCATGGCAGGGCATGGAAGCAGTCGTGGGCCGTTCTATTCCTGTGCCCACCCGCGTGGAGACTCGGCAGCCATATGTCTTGGGAAAGATATCGCCAGGCAAGAATTATCGTAAGGTGATGCAGCAAGGTATGCAATTCGGAGGAGACAGGCACCACCTGGCTGCAGTAACCGAGTTGGTTAACTATGTGAACGGGAAGGAGTTCAACAACAAATGGTAATACGTTTAGAACTGTAACAATAGAAGATCATGAGAATGGGACTTGTATCACTCCTCGTAGACATTGACAAAGACATCTTATGGAATTTAAAGAGTGGTTAGGCTAGTAGATGAGATATTACTCCTCTGCTGGCCGGCTCAAACTTTAACTGTGGGGGGCGTAGGGGACCAACATGACATAATCACATTGCGGCCTTCGGCAACTTTCTTGCTCTAGTTATTCAGCAAGTCCAAAGGTAGACTAGACTGTATACCGCATCGTATCATGCGACAATCTCCTTCCACCCCCTCGCCCGACGTGTGGAAGTCGTCCAAATGCCTAAGCATCCCAGAAAAATCCAACGTATCTCAAGGGCGTGTATGTTATACCCTCATTGACCCTTAGGCCCCCGCTCTAATAGCGCTCAGGTGACCGTTGCCATCGACGTAGCATAAAATGCACGAAAACCCGTGGCCCACTCGAGCCCTGTCAGAACTGTGTGGATTTCGATATACCCTGTACATATGAGCGTCCGTCACGGAAAAGGGGTGGTCGTAGAGGAGCCCGCGAAGGGGAACAGGAACCTGCATGCCGACCGGGCGGCGAGATTGCCGCTACTACCCCCTCTCGACCAGCCCATTCGGAAGATGATCTTCAAGTTGGCGTGAATAGTCATTTATCTACAGCTGTCGATAATAGCTCCTGGGCAACCACGGATCAGCCCTGTAACTCACAGTCACCGCTGACGCCCTGGAAGGCACTTGCAATCGCCTGTCATTCTGTGGTGCTGGATCTCGCCCAGGTGTACTTTGAGATTGTCTATCCGATGTAGTTCTCTCATTTTCGTTCTTGAGAGGATAAGCTATAAGAGATTTGCTCCTGGACTAACCGCCTTCTACTACGCAGATTTCCTCTATTCCATCCACCATCGTTCTTGAGAGCCCTCCGGAATGAAAAGCATCTCGAGGACCAAGGACTATTCGCCTCAACAATGGCAATGTGTGCCTTAGCCTCCGCACGCGCCAGGGATGGCGGTTTATATTCAAATCAGCGATCACCGTCACAGTTGTCACATCCGCCACCAGAGGTTTTCTCAGCTGCAGCTAAGGAATCTATCCCTCCGAATTTGGCTGCAGCAAGAGGCATCGATTATATGAGAGCATGTGCGATTCTCAGCGTTGCCGCCATTCAAAATGGTCAGATCCGGGAGATGCATCAATATCTAGGGATGTATCATACACTAAGTATTATGGAAGGGTTGCACGATGAGAAGTTATGGCCGAGAGACCTGGGTGTCGTGAACGTGGAGGTTCGACGGAGACTGGTACGTCACTGTGCCTATGTGATAGCTTCCACTAGTGTCAAACTAATGCTGGAATTAGTTCTGGTCGATGTATACGCTAGACGTGTTTTCGGCGACCGTATGGGGAGGCATGATCCGTTTCAGAGAAGTTCAGTCAAATGTACGCTATCCGAGAGAGGTGAACGACGATGTGCTTGATGTTGCAAACGAAGCATCGATATCGGCGGACTGTACCACGCCCACTTCCAATCCTTATGAACCCTCGGTTTGGATGCGTGGGTGGAATTTCACTACTGATCTTTATCGAATACTGGAGCATGCTATAGACGGCCAGCGGCAAAGTCTGCGCGCTGAGAATGAGAGCCCCTGGTCGTTATTCCGCCCGACCCCTGTCCCGGGCCCTTTGATCATGGAGCATGTACATTCCCTATTCTCGGCTTTACCGTCGCAGCTTCAATCAAGCAAGCCTGCCACCGGTGATCCTGAACATGATATTGTTGGATTCCAATCCGCTAATATCCAAGCAACGCTCCAGCTTCTTAACATGGTCCTTTCTTCAAGCGAGGACCAAGGAGTGGAGGAGAAATGCGAGGTTGCCGGGAACGTGCTCAGCGTCTTTAGCACAGTGCCAATTGAATATCTCAGAGCAATCAGTTCCCCGCTGGTATGTTGTTTCCCTGCATACTCTCATATTTCTCCGCTCCCGCCACTTTGGATACACGAAGCACTAACTCTTGAAGCTCTACCACTTGGGGGGAATTGGGTTTATCCTTGGGTCTGTCATGGAAGGAAGCCTGTCTGAGATGTCTTACCAAAGAGTCCGCAAGCTTCTGTAAGCATTCAATAGCATTAGGTGTCGGGTTCAAGCCCAAGTTGCTGATTGATGAGAAGATTAGAGATGGCAGCACTTTTGTCTCAAATGGAGTCCGGCCTTACCCGCTCCACTGGCGCCAGTGAACGACTCAAATCACAGGTTAAGCGAATAGATGACTATATGGATAAAACTCGGCATGCCAATATGCGCTCTGAGCAAGCGGAAATTGACCAATCGCAAGACTTCGAAGGTTACATACGACCTACCCCAGGCCAGCCAACAGACTTCGATGACACATTAGCTTATTTCGAACTACCCCCAGACTTACTGGATGACTGGCCCTGGTCGTCTGGAGCTGGCGTGTTGGACGGCATGTTTCCGATTGCGTTAAGGAAAACAGACGACTAGAAAGACGTTTGTCGGCACATTCTCCGCAACCATTCCCGAACGATAATATTGCAAATGACATGATGACAAGTGTGATCCCCCATGGACTTCCGGAGTGAGAGTGTTTCAGGAACAGTATCTAGATTTGAATGTAATTATCCGACTCTCGTGTGTTCCTCCCAGTCTGAATCAAAACCGGTATACAAATAGAGACGGTCGCTGGCAGCCATCTAAAAGAGGAGAACAGATGTAAAACATGGGAGGCTCTTTCCCAATGCCACTTCCCTCCGCCTAACCCTCCGCCTCACTCTCCGCCTCACTCTCCGCCTACCTCATTAGGGCAGGCTCGCTTTTTGTAACCAGCAAACTTCTTGCCGTCTGCCATTCATGAATTTCTTGCCTGAGGCATGAAGTTACTACCCCAAGCAGTAAGTTTCTGCCTCAGGCATGAAGTGGGAAAGTTAAGAAAGGGCGGTAGGGCTCCCGCATGGACTAAAAACAAATCTTACCTCTTGGGGCAGGCGGAGGATAGGCAGAGGTTGTGGCCTGAGCGCCTCCCTAACACATACGTAGAATCTTTTGTAAACAATGCATGGAGAGTTCTACATTTCATACTACTCGACTGATCCCTTCCTACTACAGCTATCAACCGGATTTAGTGACCCTCAAGCTATCCATCTCCCTTAGGCGACATTTTGTTGCGCAGTGAGCGGGTGCTGTATGGATACTGCCGCTCCTCCCCGCCTTAGGTGAAACACTCAGCTAGTCGAGGGCCTCGTTCAACAATATCATCATTATCTCCCCATATGACCTGACTGCGTCAAAACCTTTACCGAAATATCCTCTTCGCTATGATATATTACATAATACTGAATGTAATGCTTGGCTATCATATTTCAGTTCAGTGTCTGGACTGGCTTTCCAACTACATCCTTCAGTTAATTACCACTACTATATATGTTTGACATTCTGCATGTCTGGCTCCGCGTGCTGTATCATCGCCAGGTTATGCTCCTAATATTTGCTACTAGTAATTTGATCCACGACACTTTCACTAGGAAGAGAGATTTATCATCAAGTCGAAGAGTTCAATCCACGTTTCTATATCTTACTAGGAGTGGACTACAGGACATTACATTTGCCTGGTGGTGACGAATAGCCTGCTTATGCTACTCCTAGTTGTGATTAAGCCCATAAAGTGTCCGTAAAATATGTGGGCATTCTGAAGATACCATGTTGAGGATCATGTGGTGTGTCACAACTGATCGGCTTTCTGTAACAGCAGCGGGGGCAGGTGCGACCCAGGTGATATGGCTTTCGGATCGGCAGCTTCAAAGTCGTCTTCCTCGAGCAGGTATTCATAGACCTCCCATGCTTGTACTTGCACTCGGTTAGAGGAGGCAAGAACTTTTCCATCTGCAGCAATTGCTTGTGCAAGAACACTCCGCAGTGCAAAGGGTACATGATGAACAGTCTCAAATCCCTGTCGTGTCGCAGTTGTCTCAAATTCTTCGTTCCGAACATCCTCGCTCCACCCAATCGGCAAGCTGTCCCCGGAGTCCACCTGGAACTGAAGCCGCCATTCGGCCGTCTCTGTATCCCCATTCCACGATAAGTATATATCTGTTCCACCGTTGCCCCCATGGGCCCCACGTCGCTGAAAGGCTACCACAGCGGGCTCCTCACTGGAAATCCCTGTCCAATTTGCCCGGAAGGCCCGATAATTCTGCACGTCGCCGCGGCTGAGCGGTCGGGAGTCCAGATAAGCATGGTAGAGAGGTTCTCCATCGGACGAAAATTCGGTTACCGCTCCCTCTGAGCCCCAGTTTATGAATACATTACCATTAGGAAGGGTTTGGAGGGAGCCTTGTGACTTTACCAGCAGTAAATCAGGAGGAATAAACGAGGACTCGAGGGCTGCGTGGCGAGTATGATGATCCAATTTGAGGATTTTGCCGCGGGAGTAGGGATAAATCTGTACTTCCTTGTCACCGCCACCGCCACTTTCAGAGCCGTATACAGCGTTGTCAAATAGCGTTATTGTTGTCACACTGCTATTATCGACCTGATTAAGCAACCGGGCATGATGCTGAAAGCCAAACTCTACTTCAGGGCCCAGGGTGAAATCGGATCGTGACCCTCCTAATCGCCAGATGACACTGCCATCGGTGCTGTTAATCTTGTAAACGGTGCTGGCATGACGCGCAGACACAAGGTAGTGACCGTCAATGCCCTTGGTTACTGAGTTGATGTGAAAATAGTCCCAGGCAGTAGAGCTATTATGGCCAATCCCCGCTTGATCCTTGGGAAGTGGAAGAGCAGATTCTGGGACAAGTGAAGGCGTTAATATTGGCACAAAGAAATTCTTTCTGATGTGGAGGAATTCACTGTGAACCCAAAAGATGGAAGACAACGTACCCTCCGGGCCAATATGATCCAGGCTTCGCCATTCGAACAACACTTTGCCATCATTGATGTCCAACTCTGTGATATGATGAGCCTTGACGTGTTCCACAGGAAATTGCGGACCACCATAGATGGAGCTAACCTTGAAATATTGCGTTAACAATCCAATGTTGCCGTCGGTCGGATGTGTAATTGCTCAGATCTCGCACTTCCGGGTGATGAATCTGAATCAGTGCTGTCGATTCGTTCAAGATCTCGAACTCATGCTTATCGGAGAGCAGATGATTACCCGCGCGGAGTTCTTTGATCGTCTCATACCGCTGATTCAGGAGCACATGATGGCCATGACCATGGCCATAAAGTCCATTGTGCGCACCTTCGAAAGAGGCTAAAACATCCTGACCATTCCATCGCGTGGCCTGGAAGTTCCCTGTCCAAGTAGAGAAGTAGGTGTACCCGGACCAGACTAGGTCGCCGTTGTCGCTGAGAATGTACGCACCAGGCTGCTGTGGTGCTCGATGTGCCGGCTCGGAAACGGCATTGAATGGGGCGATGAATATGTATCCTTGTTCTAGCCCATGGGTCGGAGGAATGGTGATATTGAGACGGGGTGGGGAGAGATCAGGTCTCGATTTATACCTATTGTTGCCGATGACTACATGGCTAAACAATATGAGCCCCAAGCATACCCATGGCATGCGCAGGACAGTAGGTGACAACATGACTAAACGCTTTTTGCAAAGTACACTTGGAGGCGGCTGTGACACTGGCCTCCCTTAAGTAGTGCCACACAGGGATAAGCTAACCCAATCACCTCATCCGCCCTAAAATGAGATGGCCTACCGGGGAATCTGATCGCCAACCAACCTTGCATCTACCGCAGCCCCATGAATACCACTTCTTCTTATACCGTGTTACTTCAAGTAACAGAAAGCCTGAGGGGACTAGCATCAGAAATAAATTCATAGTTGCATTGATAAAACATTACTCTGCATCCTAATGTGTCCCTGTCGCAGGCTATGCATTGAAGGTCTTCGAAGCTCAACAGGAGCGTTAAATTTGTAAGATACTACGTATTTCCCTATGACTGGTTTATGTAACACACGCAAAAATAAGTAGAAGGATCTTGATCTATCGGCTGGAAACGGTTTATCCACATGCATTGGGTGATGTGCCCAATGCAGTGGGTCAATTCTGGCTAGAAGTATACAGAGCCCGAAACCTGGTCTCTTGTGACAGCAATGACTCAGGACGGTCAAACTCCACAAGTACCCCATCCTCAAAGAGCGCAATCTTATCAAAGGCGGATATATTTTCGTACCGGTGCATAATTGAAAGAATGGTACAATCATTGAAATGACTAGCAACAATGCGTTCCATGAGCGATTGTGTAGCGGCATCGACTCTGGAACCATTAGTTAAGTTGTATAAGCATTCCGTCTAGATGGCTACAACAAGGAGAGAACTTTGTAAAGAAATGTGGCTAACATACCGACCCATGGCTTCATCAAGGATTAGAATCCTGCTCCTCCTCGCCATAGCGCGCGCAAGTGCCATCAGCTGTCCTTGCCCGGCTGACCATAAACCCGGTTCTAGTTCAGCATCCAGTCCACCCATGTTCTGAACAATAGCAGATAAATGGGTGGCTTTTAGGACGCCTTCCACGGCGGCTTCCGACAGTGCCTCATCAGGATCGATGTTGAGCCGGATGGTTCCGGGCAGAAAACAAGGGTCCTGGGGTACGACGCTCAGACGCTTGAGAATGTCCTCTGAACAGACATTGCTGAGGTCGACCCCGTCAATTTGAACGGAGCCGCTTTGTATGGGAAGCAACCCACCAAGACAGAGCACAAGCGATGACTTGCCACTTCCCGAGCGTCCACAAATGGCGACTTTATCTCCTGGTTCAATGTGCATTGAGACTGATTTGAGAACAGGGTGGGATCTGTAATTTGCAAGTCAGGCGTCCATGCTTGGTGGGCCGTCCTAGCGCCGGGCCACACATTGGATTGAACGATATGCGAGAGTGCAGGACAAGTGGTTACATACCTGTAAGCTGCGACGACATTAACGAATTCGATTGCCCCCTGACTGGGCCACGTAACCTTCTCATGCATGGAAAACGAGGAGTCAGCATCGGAATGTTTACTCTGCGCTTCTGACGGCACGGTCTCCGCGAAGGTTTTGATCCGGGAGACTGCCCCAAGACATGATTCGGTCAGTGACCAGAATTTGAGTAAGCGTGCCAAAGACTGCGTAAAGCTCATGAGGGTTACAATCGCTGTTCCAGATGACCCGGAATCGAAAGAATCCCTGCTAAAGACGATGAGGATCATGAGAAGAACAACCAGTCCACATGCTAAAAGGTCCATAGAGAGCGTTAACCATTGTTGGATCATGAATAGGGTATAGACGCATTTCTGTGAATCATCCACGAAAAGGAGGTTATTTCTCTCAAACCATTGTTGTCGACGAAAGGCACGGATGGTAGATACACCGCTCAGTGTCTCAGAAAGATGCTGATACAGTGGAGCCTTGGTCTCGATGCTGAGGAGGCGTACTTGTCGAGACGTTCGGAGGTAGTACCTCTGAAGGAAGTAGCATACTATTAGAAGAGGCGGAACTGTCAGGGACATATAGTTCGCTACGACGAACAATATGATCATCTTTAGCAAACAAGCCCCCAGCGCTTCATCACTTGGAGTGTTAACATTCGCGTATATTCGGACAAATCGGAACCGCAATGAATACAACCACCTTAACATACCTTTCGTTGTGTTAATGGCGGCCAGTGGTAAGGTCATGTCAGTAAGCTCCAGGTCCTGGTTGAAACTGGAAGTGCAAGCGTTTGATCAGTAGCGGCAACTCTAGGGGTGTTTAACTGGTAGGCTTACCGATTCAAGATGTCGCCTGAGTTAGCCTCACTGAGCCAGAAGAGCGGAGCACTGGCTACTAGTCAGCGAGTTGTTCATTGTCTTTGAAGGCACATTATATGCAGAAGAGTACTATACTGTAAAAGTGGTCTTAGCATGGATAGATGTAGACGTTGTGCAGTGTTGGATATCATATGAAGAAGGTAAATCCTGTAGCCGGTTATTGTCCTGTAAGTCATACCAAGTGGATAGACTGAGAATATACCATGAGCTGGCAGCGCCGATAATGACAGCGCCAAGCCCAAGGGCAATAAAAACGCCTAAGTACATCCAATGTGCACCATCTGGGCTTTCAGTACTGGCGTCTGACCACCACTTGAGCCAGAGTGCTGGAAATGCTCAGTTAACTTCAATTACAGTAATACGTCGGTCTGGGAGCTAGAGGCCGGTCTCACTTGAAAAGTTTTGGGAGAACGCGAAGACAAGGACAAGGACAATGTAAAGAATCGAAAGCCCCAAACCTGCAGACTTCAGGTAATATAAGTAAACGGAGCGATCTTTGACCGGCCGCGAGACGGTCTGCTTGGGTTCCGGCGCATTGTCATCAGAGGATACTTCCGCATCCACGGATTGAGAGGCCTGCTGTTTTGGGGAGGCCGGTCGTGATTTGAACTCGTTGTCATCAGGAAAAGAAGTTTGATGACCAGAAGAGGGTGTCGAAGAGGCAGACGGCTTGTATGTCGCCACTGTACCCTCTTTCAAAATATAAACATCATCTGCAAAAGCCGCTACTTTGGCTAAAGAAATGGTTTAATCTAGTCAGCGGACAGAAGACTTTGGTTGTTTAGAACTTACCATTGTGCGTTGATAGGATAACAGTAATGTCTCTGCAACGCAGGTAACCCTTATGCCTGTCCAGTAGCCTTTCACAAATTTTATTAATATTTGCAGCATCGAGTCCGCTAAAGATATCGTCGAGGACTACCATCTCGCAGCCAGAATACACTGCACGAGCAAGAGCCTAAGTTAATATGCTGTTGTTAGCGAAGGGAACACCTGATGACATAAAGCAGCAGCATACCAGGCGTTGTTTCTGTCCTCCACTGAGCATAAATCCCTGCCCTCCGATTCTAGTCAAGTCCTTTTCCGGCAGAGCTTCGACGTCCTCAGCCAAACAGCACATCCATAGTACGTGGCGGTACCACTCCGGTTCAAAGTTAAGCGGATCAACGATGTTACCGCGGACGCTGGTATCCACAAGCCAGGGAGTCTGAGCGCAGTATGCAATGGGCATAGGGTGTACGGACACCCGGCCATTACTAACAACAGTTTCGCCCAGTACAGTCTCCAATAGCAGTGTCTTTCCTGAGCCTATTGGCCCCATGATCGCAGCAAAGGAGCCCCTTGGCACGCTTAAATTGATACCGTAGAGCATATCGCATCCTGAAGGTTCCCATCTTATGAAAGCATCTCTGCACTCTATAATGGTTCCCTCATCTGTGATAGAGCTATCACCACGCTCACTTTCAACTAAAACCTTGTTTGATGAACTGCGTACGCCGATATAATCTTGGATTCGAGTAAAAGAGCCCAGGCACTGAACGATTGCCGGTAACGTCTGTATGAAGGTCCAGACTGGCATCGTAATGAGTGTCATTAGAGACAGTGCCGTGAATGCCTGCGAGGAATTTAATGAGTAATCTTTTGTTGTGAAGGAAATTATCGTAAACAATGTGAATGAGGCTGCCGGAGCAGCGAGCCACGGGAAGCTGGCTGTGGAGGACATGTCAGCAGAGCGCTTTTGCAACCAAACCAGAAGCTGGAAGGCTAATAGGAAGCGAATGGCGAGAAAATGAAGTGATCCCCGACAAAGGCAAGGCGCTTACAGATGAGGACTTCCCAAAATATAAGTGATCGAAATCTACGCGAAGTGGCAATTTCGGTAGAACGAAAACCAGCGATGACTTCCTCCACTCGATTACAAAGACCAAGTACTTTCAATGATTTTATGCTGCTTAGGGCTTGCCTAGTAGCATGTATTCTGAGCTCGACTTTAGCAATCCACGCGCGCTGAGCCCTATTCTTGGATTTCAAGACTTTTATTATCATTGATATACATGCTGTTGAAGGATTAGAGACAAAACCATCATGATAACAAATTGGAAGTACATACCCAGAGAAAGAATGACAGGCATGAGACATGACACCGCAAGCTGGCGTTCTAATAGCCACAGTGCCAGTCCAATGTCGATTGGGGATGCCCATATGTCGTGTATATCACGCAGGCTAGTTGAAATGCGTTCCACATCTGTCCCCATCAGTGTGATAGCCGTGTCGGTGCCCATCTCCCCAGACCGCCGTTTGAGAGTCTGTGCATAGACTGCCGCAAGAAGACTACCACGAATACTGATGATGAACCGATACGTCTGTCGACTGTAAAATGCAGTGGATACCTGCGAGTTGTTAAGAATGTTTCTATAGGAATCGCTAGCACTATCTACTTACAGCAATACCAAGGTATACGATCCCTGAAGCTGCTATTAACCCATACCCCTTGTCCCTTGTCTCTGGGGCTTCCGGAAGTGCCGCGTATGTAGTAATTTTATCGACCAATAGGGGCTGCATAATGGTAAACGCCGATAGGCAAAGTCGAGGGATAACTGCACTGAAGAAGGCCATCTTGTACGTTTGTAATAATGTGATTGGCAGTTGATTTCTTTTGGAATGGTCGACTACTAGACAGGATCATCAGCTCTGATATTCATTCACAGCGCGTACAAGGATCATTTATGACTTGGTGAGTAACTATACCTTTTCCCCAAGACCTCTGTAATTGCTTCATTAGTCTCATGCTCGTCAGCTCTATGGTAACAGGGGGAACATCTGATAAGCCCAAGGGACGGGTGAACCCTTGCTGCAATACTGGCAGAACCCATATTAACAATCCCAAGCCCCAAAGACTACTTGTCTCCTCGGCGGTTGTCTGTCGGCATCTGGTTGTTATCAGAGAATCTTCTTTTTTTAGGGATTCTGCGATGAGCACAATAACATGAACGGCGAGCACAGTACTGCATAGAGCTGTTGCACTCGACGAGTTAGATGCCAACCAGAACGAGCGGATAAAGACACCATCAAATAGCACCACCAGGAATAGATAGGCGTTAATTAGAAGTGGTGGCCGCAGTGTCCGATTATACTCCAAGTATGATAGACATAGTGCTACACAGGTCCCAAAAGCTCGCAACAATTGGGCGGCAAAGCTAGCCTGGGTCTTGAGAACAGCTATCTGTTGACGAAGCACAAGGAGAGCGACCTCGCTTGCAAACAGAATTAGATACAATGTCTGCATCTTTTAGTAGGAGACTCTATATCGCCAGATCTGAAATTTAACACTGACCGAAGTGCTAGTAACCCTATATGTCCTGATAATTATGTTCGGCCTTCCAACCAACTGCAACACTCGGATGATGCCCAAGATGATGAAGACGGCAGAAGGAACACAAGCAAGAAAGACATCCTCGAAGAACAAGGTGAAATCGAATGATCGACATTGGCTGTCCACCACGGGGCCGAAGGAGGTATCGCTAGCCCGGCAGAGGCTTTGACTGGCCATAGTGACAACTGCTAGAAACGGATTGTTAGGCATGTAGGATGAGGTTGCAGTAAATAGTCCCAGGCTCAGGTCGCGGCGATGTTCCGACTTCGGCGCTCAACACTTGCCGGTCAAGTGAGGCTGTGATGGTCACTAGGCTATCTCAGCCTTGATCTAGTTACAAGATTACGCAGATCTTCAACCCTGAAAGGGTAACTGCTCATGTGCCCCAATGCCCTGCTCTTCAGATCTGTGGGCTGACTATTGCGCAATCATCCTTCAGGGTTGGCAACAAACTAAGGCCGTATCCGCGGTAGGGCCCGCGGGCGGAGCGGCACGATCGCAGCCAATCATGCCCTAAATGGAATGCTTTAGTGACAGGGCTTATATGGGGGCGATTTTTCGGCGACACCGATCTAGAACCTGAATGAGGGTGTTGCCCAACATAGGCATTTGCAACTGTGAGAGTCATGCTGACAGCAAAGGGGAACATGCAGGGGGGATAACGCCATTGGAATAAGCGATCTCGTCATGTTCCTGAGGATCGCCGATCGGTCGAATTCACGGTCAGACTCATGTTTTCGACTGAGCGACAGACGGGGAGGATAAACCGGCAAGTACAGAATGCGTGAACTACTTAAGGATGATGAGCGTCAGCCGAATGATGCTATCCAGTGTCCACATATCTTATGAGTATCAATTGTGATTTGGTAACAGGACCAAAATATGCCTCACTCAGAAGCCCCTCAGGAGCGAACGGATGCCAGTGCCGACGTGACAAGCGGCGCTCAGGGCGTACGTATACCGTATACATTAGTTTCAGAGAGTATGCTAATATCCAAACCAGCAACAAACCCAGATTCGGGTCCTAGTCGCCTGCCCTCGTTCGGGCTCCACACTCTTCATGCGTATCTTTCGCGAACTCCCTCGTTGTGCGGTTACGAGTCGCTTGATTCTGCAAGGCAACTACCACAAATTCAGCGACCAAACTCTAGCTCGAATCAAGCCCGACTATACCATCTTCTCTCATCCAGAAGCCCATCCCGTCTACCGTCAAGCGGTGTCGGAAGGCTTTACCACTCTGGTCACCAAAGAGGAATTGGGTCACGAGTTCTTCAAGGGTGAATGCGACTTCAACATCCTGCCCAATCGAGCAGCCTACGACATGACGCGGCCCGCGTTTCTTGTCCGGGACCCAGTGCGCGTCTTTGATAGCTGGAAAAATATGGGTTGGGGCGATCTATACAGCTTTTTCATTTGCTATCGTTCACTTTTTAAAATGCTCAAGGCTAGCCCAACACCTCAAGTTGTCCTGTATGAGCAATTGGTGGCCGACCCCAGAGGCACAGTAACCGCACTGTCACAGTACTGGGGCATAGCATACGATGAAGGCTGTTTGGAATTTAGGCAGCCGTTTGGGGATTACCTATTCAACGGTGACCGAGAACAATCGATCTATCAGGGTGCCGTTCCTGCCGGCCTCTTCAACCGCGTCAAGTCCCACACCCATGTTGAAGATTTCCAGGGCCATGGTCTGCTATCCGCACTGGAAATTGAACATATCGAAGCCGAAGTAGGCGGCCTGTACCTTGAGGCTTATGGCCCACAGCTAGACCCCATTTCAAGTCTTCTCTTCAAAAAGACGTGGTTTGGTTTCGATCTAGATGACACACTGCACGAGTTTCGCAAGGCGTCTGCCCATGCATCCCAATCCGTCTTCGCGGCAATTCGAGTCAACCATCCCGAGAGCAAAGTCACAATTGACGATCTCCAGGCGACCTATCGTGACATCCTTCGGTCAAATTCTGCAAATGCATTTACAGATGGAAAGTCATCCGAAGATTACCGCAGCGACAGATTTCAACGTTTGCTCGAAGCCCACGGGCATGAGCCTTCCCGGGTAGAAGTGGAAGAACTGTTGGCAATATACAAAAGCAGTCTCCGTGCCGCCCTGACACTGAAGGCTGGGGCACTTCATCTCCTACAGAAGCTCAAGTCTCATGGGAAGAAGGTTGTTATTATCACCGAGGGTCCACAAGATGCACAGGAATGGACGGTGTCAGAGCTTGGGTTACAGCCATTCATAGATATCCTCGTCACTACCAATGAGGTCGGAGTGTCTAAGGTGGATGGTCTATTTTCCGCTGTTCTAGATAAGCATAGCATCGTTCCAACTGACATGGTCTATGTCGGGGATAGCGAACAGCGTGACATCGAACCTGCACGGGCTGCAGGGATAGATACCGTTCTGTATGATGAGAAGAGCAACTGTCGCCTTCGGGACCCTCACAACTTGCGGCTAAACTCACTCCCAAAATTGGAGTACCTCATAGGCCGTCATTAAGTTGGCTAATATATGGGGTCTGAGCAGTCGGTATTGACCAAATGGATCTTTGGGGTTAATAGATTACTTACATGGACAGCATATCGGTAGAGATTGGAAGCGTTTGCTGTAAAATGTGTGCATCTTGGATCTCGGGTCTCTTTCAGATCACCCTCAGGGAACAGCGGTGGGTAGCTTTCGTTCACTAGCTCGCTGCTTTTGTTCAATCATGGATAGCATGTGTAGGTTGAAGCGTCAAGGAAAGTAAAGAAAAGGAAATTGAGGGACGTAAGGTACTAATTTAAGTGCTTGTTAGCATAATGGTTGAGGCCATATCTGAGAGGCGGTGAGCGGGGCATATGGCAGGTGGATCTGTTGATACAGAGATAGGTAGAAATTCAATTCAAAAACGCACACTTTCTTCAGAAATTCTGTAACATGGAGACTATTTGGTCAGTCCATTCTGGTTGTGGCAAGCTGCTGGCATTATTAAAGATGAGACTTCAAAGCAGTGCTCAAGTTTAACGATAATTTCAAGAACGTTGCTAATTGGGCTTACTGGAAGACTGACAACTTATACGGTCTCGGGACGCACATGGAAGGTTCGCCGTACTTTGAGGCATTGGACGGTAAGTTCGTGAAAGAATCTACCTTCACCAATATGCTTATATGTCGGCCCTTTTTGCTAAACAATAAACAGATGCCAGTGGCTGGGCTTGGTTTATGCCACTACACGATGGCACTCGCTCCGTGGGAGTTGTTCAAGACCAGAAAATTGCGACTGAACAGAAGCGACAGCTCGGACGTCCCTCAACCTTGGACTTTTATAAGCAATGCGTCGAAAAGGCGCCCAGGACTAGGAAGCTCCTCTCGGGAGCGGAGATAGTCACCAATGTCAGAGCGGCCTCGGATTGGTCCTATACCGCGTCAACTTATCACATACCAAATGCACGCATCTGCGGAGATGCCGGCAGTTTTATTGGCCCCTTGTTTTCCTCGGGTGTCCATCTGGCTGTGACAGGCGGTCTCTCAGCGGCAGCTACGATTGCAGCCTCGATCAGGGGCGACTGTGATGAGCAGACGGCTGGGTTGTGGCACACCAAGAAAACGGTTGAGAGCTATACTCGATTCTTCTTGGCAGTTAGCAGTGCTACAAAACAGATCCGTGAACAGTATGAGCCTATTATCCAGGACATGGAGGAGGAAGGGTTCCAAAGAGCCTTTGATCTTCTGAAACCTAGTACGGACCTCCTGAAGCACTTCATTTTAGCTCCAGTTTTAGTTCTTCAGTTAACCAAAATCCTTTGTGTTTTAGTCATCCAAGGTACCGTCGACGCGGATAATACAGGGAAGATCTCCTACACCGAAATCTCCAAGGCACTCGAATTCTGCTTTAGGGCTTTCACATATGTCCCGCCAGAAAAGAAAGACGCACTGTTCGAGAAACTGAAGAACCTCGGTGTTGAATCTGGACAAAGCGACGCAAAAGAGGCAAAGGCACTTGATGATATAGAAAAGCATCTTACAAGGGATGAGCTACAGGTATTGGAAATTCTACGAAGTAGGCGCATGATTCGTGAAGACCCCTTTGAGATGGATAGCTTCACACTCGACACGATCGACGGATTGGCGCCGAACTTAGTACGTGGTAAATTGGGACTCGTTAAGGCTAATCAGGCCAAAATTGACAAAGCTCACTTCTTTTCGCCGCGATTTTTGGACGGTAAGGCCCCGGGGATTAGGGATGAGAGCATTTTTCTGCCCACGTCAAGGGTTCGGCTTGGTTGATCAATTATCCATGTAAATAGAATGCGATGCAGCTCGCCAGCCACATTATCAACCTGAAAGATGCACTCCATATTCAAATTCCCACACAATAGCTATCTCCCTGCTTCCTTATGCGTTCCCGTTCCATATAAATAGGTTAGCAGGATCATTCATCTAGCATCGAGACTGCCATTCCCATTCTTACATAGAATAAACTGGTTATTTCACCTAAGCCATGTGGATATAATAAATTTAAAATATACTATACTCGAGTAGCATATCCCAGGAATTATATATAACCCTAACTCCTACTTAGCTCTTAACCAAGCATCTCCTTTATACAGTAGTTCAGTATTAATGTGTTATTTCTTTACTATCTTAGTACTAACATCAGATCTCCAAGAAATCCACTGCTTAGAAGGGAACAACCCGACCGTACACTAGCGGGCAAGTGAAGGTCTAAAAATCCATTAACTGCTGGATAGATACTTATTCCTTACATTTTATAGTCTTTATACGGATATGATCACTGGTCTGTCATACATTGACATTTGTAGAGATGTTGTGCCAACAATCGTCCAAGCCTATGATAACATACTTCTGAGGATTTAAGTAATTTGACGATTATTTGCATATTAAAAGAGTCTAAAATATAAACCTACTAAGAATATACACTGCTAGGTCGTCTCTGTTACTGCATATGATATGAAAGTCTTCTCAGATAATAATCCTGGATCATATAATGACAGTAGCTAATAATCAGGTCATATCACAAGAAACAAAATTATAATCTCTTCTTTTAACTAGACAATGAGATTAAGAGAATCTCCATACAAGCACACCATAGGCTCTATAGATAAAATCTAACAGCCAATTTTTTCGTATTCTTCATTCCCACTATTTATCAACTCTGATTATTTTGACCCTGGTATAATTGAGTTGAAGATAAATCAATACACAGTTAATTTCATTACTTTGGTTAATATGTTTTATAATGGAAGTTCTCATACAATGGTGCTAACAGGAAGCCCAAGCCACTTTAGATATAAGCAATTAACCGAGAACAAGCGCCTCAAGAGGCCTGCTTACCACACCCATTGAATCTCTTGGATTGTTCCTGGAAGGAATTAATGAAATGTCTGACAAGAAAGAGACACTCGTGCAGAAGTTGACATGTAGCTAACCATATTTTTCAAACATCGAGTGACCACATGCCCGTTTTTCCGAGGCCCATTTAATAGGGTGCAACCACACCCCTAGAACAGTTTATATGCGAATGGAAAAGCACATGGTTTGGTTAGGAAATAAATGAGACTGGCTGAAATTTCAAGTTCTTATGACCACAACTTCTCGGACTCTTATTACTCCAGCAAATTTGGGGACCAGTGCGTCCTGGTAGTCGCAACTCGCAGAAAGCAAATTTTGAAGCTGCGCGCACCCATTTCCTCAAGCTCGACGGACACCCTAGCATTCTAAGTATAATACCCGATGTAGGTTCGACATCGAAAGGATAAGGAACAAAAAAAAGGGGCAAAAATAAAAAAAAAAGAATCGAAGTAAACCAGACGAATAACAGGGTCTGTAATCAAAATATGGGAGAGATACCGCAATTACCCCGTAGTGGACTTTATTATGATCACTCCACTTCCCGAGTATTTCAAAAAAAAATAATACCATTGTAACAAGCGAACCTGCTTGGTGTGAGCCAGTTTATTAGATAGCAATTGGAGGGTTTGGAATCTGCTATCGAGACACGCAAGATTCTGCAGAAGTTATTTTTGCAGCATCACCTGCACTAGACCTGCACGGGTAATGTAGTCCGACCTGGCCTGTGTCCTCTGGACATGGGCGTACCGGACAACTTGATTCGTGCCCTCATGGCCCCGTTACGAGCCCCCTAACAGACGTCCGCTAGCATCCGCACCTGCCATGGCTGAAACTTTGCCCCTGGCCTAGTCCATTTCATTTTATATAATGATGATGAGATATGGATCTTGCACAACTATGCTTTTCCTCGGTCGGTGCGTAATGTATAGTTCTTGGGTGGTAAGGAGATTCACCGACCGCAACTCCCAGCATAACAAGAAGAGGAATAGATGAATGAGCAGCGACAATCTTGGTACCACAATTCTTGAATAAGCATTTAGACTCCGGCTTGGTTTTTTCCGTTGCATTGGCGCTGGTGCTGTTCCTGCGCACGGTGCAACCGTTATCTCCACCAATGATTACCTGCAGAAAGCCCATGGCTGCAACCACCCAGGCGACTTGAGTGCACCTAACCAGCATACTCGATGCTGGGAATCACTTCAGGTATGGTCGGCTGAATATGCAGTCGATTTCCGGCGCCAGGAACAGTCCGGTCCCCTCACCACGGACATAGACCCGCCACCAAAACGTCGATAGCGGCCTCGCTTCGTCAACGACCATTTTGCCCACCCCTGACACACAGGGAAACCGGCTTCCGGTAACAATATAAAAGGGCGAGTCTTGTCGTCTCACTTTCCGTCTTTCGAGTATGCCTTGCCAGTTCTTAACTTGACTTGAGACCTCCCATTTCGTTCATTTGTCGCCCGCTATAAGAATGGTCCGTCAGTTTATCCTGATCAGCAGTCTGCTGGCAGCTGTTGCTGTGCGCGCGGCGCCTGCTAATCCTGCTCATCCCATGATTACGGAAGCGCCTGACGTCAACTTGGTTGAAAAGAGAGCGACTACCTGCACCTTCTCGGGCTCCGAAGGTGCATCCAAGGCCAGCAAGTCGAAAACCTCTTGCTCCACAATTTACCTGTCTGACGTGGCCGTCCCATCTGGCACAACCCTTGATCTCTCTGACCTTAATGATGGAACCCACGTACGTTCCCCGGGTGATCCATGTTCTATCTTCACACGCAAACGCGTCAATGGTACTGGCTGACAGTTATACTAGGTGATCTTCCAGGGAGAAACCACTTTTGGCTATGAGGAATGGGAAGGGCCTCTTGTGCGTGTTTCTGGGACTGATATCACTGTCGAGGGGGAGAGCGGCGCGGTGCTCAATGGCGATGGCAGCCGCTGGTGGGATGGAGAGGGTGGCAATGGTGGTAAAACAAAGCCCAAGTTCTTCTATGCCCATGACTTGACCTCTTCCACCATCAAGAGCATCTACATCGAGAACTCTCCTGTGCAGGTGTTCAGTATCGATGGCTCCACTGATCTTACCATGACTGATATCACGGTGGATAACACGGATGGTGACACGGACGACCTCGCCGCCAATACGGATGGCTTCGACATCGGGGAAAGCACCTATATCACGATCACAGGTGCCGAAATCTACAACCAAGATGACTGCGTTGCCATCAATTCTGGAGAGGTATGCGTCCCCTGGGCACTGGTTGAGAGGGGAGACGCATTGCTGACCATCTCGTAGAACATTTATTTCAGTGCCAGTGTGTGTTCTGGTGGTCACGGCCTGTCTATTGGCTCTGTTGGTGGTCGGGATGATAACACTGTCAAGAACGTGACATTTTATGATGTCAATGTTCTCAAGTCCCAGCAAGGTAAGGGAACGCATTTGAGCCATCCGTTTGCCGTCGTCTAACGTGTGCTTTAGCAATCCGTATCAAGACCATCTACGGCGACACTGGCTCCGTCAGCGAAGTCACTTACCATGAGATTGCCTTTTCGGACGCTACTGATTACGGCATTGTCATTGAACAGAACTATGATGACACCTCCAAGACCCCTACTACCGGGGTACCGATCACGGATTTTGTGCTCGAGAACATCATCGGAACGTGTGAAGATGATGATTGTACCGAAGTATACATTGCCTGCGGTGATGGCAGCTGTTCGGACTGGACTTGGACCGGCGTGAGCGTGACCGGCGGCAGTGTCAGTGACGACTGCCTTAATGTTCCCTCCGGAATTAGCTGCGATTTGTAGGCCGTTGTGATTGGGCGAGATGTTCCCGGGTACTCTGGTCGTTCGTTTAGCCAGCCCTTTTTGTTGAGTGGCCTGTTCTTCTATACTGTCAATTGTGTGTGAGATTACTACCTTGCCCGAGGAGAGAGCAGTTCATCCTATCGTTAATTCTTTGCCGGTCGGGGTTGGCCTACTAGTACATTGTACCCGAAGAGTCAACGGTGAAAGTTAAGGGCTTACAGAATTAGTCCAGGAGCAAAGCCAAATTTTATCAGAGCGCCTCAGTCACATCATGTTTTAAGCATTCATCAATGAAGATAACCTTGGAGTGTCAAGAGGTGCCAATTATAGCGACTTAGTACACAATAGGGTCGAGAAGGAGTGTGACTGTTGTGGCTTGGCTAGCGTGGCACGTGGCCGAGCATCTCCGGTTCCGCAGTCCGCTTAATCTTCTCTCGGCCTTTTTCTAATAGGTCACGGTTCATCCGACTGCGTGTGTGGTGTTGACAATGCCCAGACCTGATTACCAAGTAGAGTGCCATTGCGGACAAAGCATTGACGATCGGAAGAATGTGATCCCGGTCGGCAAATCCCGAGTGGCAATCACGTGCCGTGTCCATGCACGGACTTGTGACGCCATGGACCCAATGTTCATGTCCCATGCTGAAACGGAACAAGACCCGGGGAACATGGCAAGTAGGGAATTAACTCATCTGCTCAAACTCTGCAGCTATCAGGCAGTCTTTAAGAAGATCAACAATGTCGTAGGGGGTAATTCCCATCAACCAGACCGAGGGAAGAGATTTGCACGGTGTATACATATATATCTGTACCTCCCGTGCCTTTTCCGCCGAGTGCAATGTTATTACCTCAAATCCTCAAGAGATTGTTATGGTTCAATAATGAATCATCGAGCTTCGCGTAACCATGGAAAGCAATGCTTGTGTAGGAATTCCCAGCCAATAGTATGACCCATTAGCCAGGCCGGGATCTTGCAAGGCTCCAAGAGCCGCGAAACCATGGTTGCAGGATCTTGGGGCAATCTAGGGGCAAGATATCTTTCTCCAGTATCGCCCGGCTCACGGCTTTCTTCATGACCTTAACCCTTCCCCGCATCATATCATCCCAGGTTATGAAGGATAGTCAACACCATATGCATGGATTGACATCAGGGTGAACAGTGAGCGACCAAGGCAGCCCCAATACTTGCCGCCCATGACGGTCAACCGCAATGCCGCCGTCCGCGCCATCCCCGCAGTATTTCTGGCTGTAACTTCAATCACGGTCCTGCTCCGTTGCTATGTCCGCCTAAGGCTGGTGAAGGCGTTTGGGTGGGATGATGGCCTCATGGTCCTCGCCATGGTATGGCTCAATCTAGTGACAGCGGATGAGATAGACAAAACTGACATCTGCACAGGCAGTCTATGCCATGTTCTGTGGCGTCATGATTGGAGGTAGTTTATACGGCACAGGAAAACATTTCGCTGACTTGACTGCAAGCCACCGAGTTACTGCAATGGAGGTTTGTTTATTCTTCCTCCTCGGCTCACAGTGCCTGGCAACTGACAACTTACTCAGTACTGGTGGCTCTGCGAGATTGGATACTGCTTCTCGTCCATCTTCTGCAAATGTTCGATATGCATCTTTCTGGCTCGCATAACCATCAAGCGACCGCATCTCGCATTTCTCTACATCATCATGACATGCACCGTCCTCATCGGTCTTGTCCTAATGTTTGCCCTCTTGCTGCAATGTCGTCCTGTCTCTTATTTCTGGACCAGGGTGGCCTTTGATCCCAATGATGAGGGGACCTGCGTGAACACTGAAGTGGTTATTGCCCTGACCTATGCGTACAGCGGAGTTGCCGCGTGCTGTGATCTAGCGGTTGGGATTGTTCCTTTCTTCATTATTCGGGGGTTGAACATGCCGTGGCGGAGAAAAGTGGCGGCGATTGGCATCTGCAGTATCAGTTGCATGTGGGTAGCCTGATCAATCTATCTCCCATCTTTTCCAGGTTCACTGACTGATCTGTCGACAGTGCCTGCTGTGCGGTGATTGTTCGCATTCCGTATGTGCCCACATTTGCCGACCAGGACTTCCTTTGTATGTTTCCTATTCCCTCCGCCTTACACTAGAAAGCATCTGGTGCTAATCGGATATAGACGCGACTTATGAGGTGGCTGTCTGGTCCAATGTTGAGGTTGGCCTGGGGATCTTTGCGGGTAGTCTGGCCACCCTGCACCCCTTACTGAAGCTTCTTCGTACCGCTTTCATCCAACCTGGGTTGAAGCGGTTAAGCTCACGCAGCTCGTCGGGGCCCACGGCTCCGAAGCCCGACTTTGTTTCTGTATCTTCTTACCCGTCACCGTCCGTGTCTTTATTCCGCCCGGGCAACGTGATGAATACGACCACCACCATCCAGGCAGACGGGGAATGGGTGGCCGACCCTGAGTCTTGTTCCCCCCGAGCCAGCCGCGACACTGGCATGCGTACAAATGACATTCTCATCCAACAGACGTTTAACCTGAACACCGGGTGGGAATCCAGGAACAGCAGTGTTGCATGATAGATACATGTGGAATTTCTGTTGCCAATATGGATATCTATTAGCCTAGACAATATCACCAGTTACCCTAATCTGCCAAGGTACACGAGCTCATACATCCTCGCCCTGGAGAATTTCCGTGAAAAATAGGCAGTCACAATTGCTTCGGTGGAAAGATGGTCAGGATATAATGTCAAGTCTGGTGCAGTAAAGAACGTTGGACCATTCCTTAGAATTTCTCCTCGTATGTATCTGATGGCTTTGTTGCACTGGCTGATGGGACCACGTCATGGCAGGGCGGGGTTGACTGTCGATCCCTCTTCCCCTCACCAGTTGTCCTTCGCACTTCTCGTCCATGATCCTTCATACCAACCACAACGCCTGTGTGTTTACAAGTATTAACTACCGAACGAACGATGGCCGCATATCCTCGTCCTGACTTCCACCGCCCAGCCCTCAATTGGCTTTCCCTGGACGGTTCCTGGGACTTTATCTTCGACGATGCCGATACAGGCCTAAGCCAACGGTGGCATCAACAGGGTCTCCCTGCCCAAGAGGCCGCACAATCGAAGCGTCAGATCAATGTCCCGTACGCATTCCAAACCCCGGCGTCAGGTATTGGTCTATATGAGGTTCATGAAGTGCTCTGGTATGAACGAACGGTCCCGGACATACGCACCACAGATGAACAGACGAAAGGGAACCGACTAATCCTTCGTTTCGGGGCGGTGGACTACGAATGTACTGTCTGGGTCGATGGACAATTGGTTGGCGCTCACCGAGGAGGCCATGTACCTTTTGAGATCGATGTCTCGGACGCATTTGGTGCCCAGGGAGGCTCGGACACCCGGCGCCTCACCATTCGCGTTCGCGACTCTGCAACCGATCTCGGTCAACTGCGAGGGAAGCAATACTGGGGCCCCGTTCCACAGGAGATCTTCTATACCCCTACTAGTGGCATCTGGCTGTCTGTCTGGTTGGAGAGTGTGCCCCGGACGCGGCTGGGAAGCAGCAGTGACGGGACGGTCCTACGGTCGGATGACATTCAAGGTGGCCTCTTACATGCACGACTCACGGTACTAGGTCGCCCCGTGGCCGCCGATTGTAGCGTTGAAATTGAGGCTAGTCTTGCAGGAAATCTGGTCAGTCATAGCAGAAAAGATCTGCCCCGTGACAAGGACTGGGTAGACCTTGACATAGACATGCGCGTTCCACAAGTCGAGTCATTGAAACAACAGAGCCCGTTCAACATTGATGGTTGTTGGCGAGGTAATGTAGCTCTCTGGGCACCGGAACACCCAATCCTGTATGACCTGGTTCTGCGTCTCTACGACTCCTCGGGCAATCAAGTGGATACTATTGAGACGACGACCGGCATGCGGAGCGTTTCATGGACTTACGGCGATGGAACCTTCCGACTGAATGGAAAGCCGTGCTTCCAGACACTCGTGCTGGACCAGGGGTACTGGCCAGAGACAGGCCTGACCCCACCATCACAAGATGCTCTCCGAGCGGACATTGAAATGGCGAAGAATATGGGTATCAATGGCTGCCGCAAGCACCAGAAGGTCGAAGACCCCGTGTTTCACTACTGGGCCGATCGGCTCGGGTTCCTGGTCTGGGGCGAGATAGCCAATGCGTACGAGTTCAGCGACGAGTATATTTCGCGCTTCAACAGCGAGTGGGTGGAGGCCGTGCGAAGGGATATCAATCATCCGTGCATAGTGGCATGGACCCCATTCAACGAGAGCTGGGGCTATCCCTCCCTGAAGGACAATATTGACCAGCGCAACCATATCCGCTCAGTGTACTACCTCACCAAGTAAGTCAATGTTTGTTCTATTCCTTCAAAAAGCAACATCGCTTATAAGTTTAGGACGCTGGATCCAACTCGGCCGATCAACGATAATTGCGGCTGGGAGCATGTAGCAACCGATCTGACGACTTACCACGACTACTCCGACTTCCCTGCGCTGACAGAAACTTGTGCGGATTTCAAGACTGGTATCCTAGGCAAGAAGTCCAACCGAGACATGTTTGTACCTCCTATCCCGGCCACTCCATCCACTCCTTCGGACGCTGGTGCACAGCATGCCTCTGGGGCTCCCGTCATCTGTTCAGAATTTGGAGGAGTCAATATTATCCCCGCAAAGGGGACCGCAGCCGGGGAGCGGGATTGGGGATACACCACCGCCGCCGATCCGGAAGACCTGCTGAGTCGCCTGGAAAAGCTTGTCATGGCAGTGGTGAAAGGAGGGCATTCGTGTGGATTGGTCTATACCCAACTGTATGCCCCCTTCCTTACTGTTTTGCGACATATAGGTTGTCTGCGACAGTGGTGGCTATCAGCAGCCGTGTCCATCAATACCCAATGGCTAATTTCCTTCATAGGTGTGACATCGAGCAAGAGGTAAATGGTCTCTATTCGTACGATCGGAAAGAGAAGGTGCCAGCTTCCCGGGTCAAGGCCATTATGGATTCCGCTCACCGCTACTACCACGAGCATGTGGCTCCTAAATAGACAATCATTGCTAGAGCTGAAGGGGAGTAAGGACGAATGAACGCTATGACACCTTTTTACCCCACAGTAATGGTGCCTGGCAGGCGGCAATATATCCCTGCCTGCTTAGTACCACGACACACCTCTGTCCCTGGTGGTGCTTTTGAGCCGATGCCCAAATAATTCTGCGATAAGGTAGACAGCAACAACACGAGTAGAGAGAGTACTATTACTATTTAACCGGAATTCTCAATGGCCTGGCTATCCAGAGTAACCGATCTTACAAGCCGCAAAGACGATCGTAGCAACCTCAATCTATATCAACTAATTGGATGCAATAATACATTTTCGGTCTAAACTAAGCGCTCTACGCTTCCTTCTCTGGTCCCTTCCCCGCCACTTTCCAAGTTGGAGTCCGCCGTGTATCGGACTGAGATCGCCGTAGTCTTTACAATGCCTGTCGTCGGTGCGCCGTCCTCACTGCTGAGACTGGTGTCATCTGCTTCCGCATAGGGGTGGTATTTTCGCATCTCTCTCTTGTGCGCGGCCTCTTCAGCCCCTGGAATCGGTAGCTGGGGAGTGACCATCTCGAATGCGACCGAAGCATCGCCACGAGCCGCCGAAATCTTGACGTGGGATCGACGAGAGTACGAGGTAGTGGATGTGGGAACGTATTGGCGACCCGTTGACGGGTAGGTGGCCCGGCGTGATGAGCCCAGCAGACGAGGCAAGTAGGTACTGGCAATGGCCTTGAGACAAGGGGCACAGGCAGCCAGAACGGCGACATGAACCTCTACTGCTGAGCTGCAGAAACCAATGGAGTATGTGGCGTCGTACACGGGATGAGTTGGAAAGAAGCCCTTAGCGAGGAGCACTATCCGCCAGACTCCCACCCCCGTCGCCCTGTACCTACTTAGCCATCTGGTCTTCATTTTCTTGGAAGATCTTCCGCCACTTACACCGCGCCCATGCAGAGCACCACGCAGACAGCAACCTTCCTCCTCAGCGGCATATGTAACCCCCAGGTGATGATGATGGGAATCGACAGAACGAGCAAGTCGGTGAAGAGGTAGGTTGCCGCCGTCGCCACATAGAACGCCCCCTGATTGATGCACGATCCTTTTGAGATAGAAAAGTCATAGACGTAGGCGACCGGACTGCACTGAAAGATATCCACAAAGAGAACGGCGATGAATAATGCGACCGTAATGAACATGGTGGACCATATGAGAGAGTTTACGAGCCGCGATTGGGACTCGAGGCGACGCAGAAACATGAGGATAGAGAGCTTCACCATCGTCAGGCAAGGATTGTAGATTAGTTGATTCGCAAAGTTCCACTGATCCAGTCAGTCAATGGCAGAGGTAAAGAGCGGGGACAGGTGAGCCCCTACAATGAGTCCTTGCTTGATGTCATAGTCTTTTGGGATATCCCAGATATGGATCCCCACGTAGTTCGTCTTGATGTCTGTTTTAGTTAAGAATCAGCACAGAATGCAATGCGGTCTAGGGGGCACCTACAATACCACGAGGTAATTGATTGCCCGATAGCGAGAATCTGTCAAGGTCAGCACCATGTAAGATGTATCCGAGGAAGGGGCCTCTACATATCCGACTACAATCAGGATATCATCTTCTCATGGTTAGTGAAACCTAGCCTGTGGAGAAGGGTAAGTACCTCCCACCTGCTCCCAAGCGCGACCGAGTCAAGTAGCGACTCCAAATTCGCAGCAGCACTGCGATCCCTCCAAGCACCGGAAAGGCGACGACCACGCCCAGGGCGAGCTTCTGATGAGCGTCGTCTACCATCTTAGGCTTAGAGATAGACGGGAGACGCTGCCCGCTGGCATCGAGGGGAATGATACCTGTTGGATGCTGCTCTGCTTAAGGTCATTTTTCCGACCGAGGGCATCTACGCGACCCCGGACTAAGTCCATGGAGCGAGCGAGCAGATACTTCGTAGAAGCCTCAGACCTTGCAGTAGTGTCGTTTCATGGAGAGTAATGAAGACTGCAGGAGGCATAAGACTACAAATGCATTCTGAGGGATGGTTCGGCTTCCACCAGTCAAAGCCAAAATAGTACACATTCCGATATGTTTGCAGTGCCTAAGTGTCTGTTGACAAGCTATTAATAAGCGGAAAAACTTGTCCGGCAAGACTCCCCTGTGGGATGTCCGACCCTATTCTCAAAAGAGGTATCGCACACATATTAAAGTCCAGGGACTCGTGCACTTGGGGCCGGGGTTTCCGTCGGTTCTCCGGCGGAGAGGACGGCCATTGCTGGCGTCGAAATAGTCGATTGGCAGGTCGGAGATGAAACGCGGCAGAGACGACAGGGGTCTGAACAGAAATAGCTGCAATCTCGGGTTATCAGGATAAATAGAAACGGAGACTGTGCATATTGTAGCCGAGTCCATCCATCCGTATTCACTTCTAAGGCACCTGGGCAACTAACTTATTTTCTCCGTCGGGGAGTTTTCCGCCCCCGGTCGCAACCAGCCCCTTCTTCTCTATTCCCTGCTGGCTGCATGAAGAACCGGGATTTAAACCTCATGCAGGAACGATAGTCGTCTGACTAACCCTCATTTGAATGCTTAAGATAAATCTGGGGCATCCAGGCACGGATGATTCTGCGATCGCCTGTTCCTGCGGATCACGGGCTCCGTCCATCACGCGAAGTAAGGGATGCATGGATAGAATGGGACAAGATGTGGGATTTTCTGACATGTTTTCCAGGCTTTATTTTAATATTCTTCCCCCACCCCCTTCCTTTTGTTACAATCAAGCTGAATGATTAGCGGGCGGATCAAGTCCAGCCGTTTTGCTTCCCATCCAAGGCAATGTCATTTCCGAGCTGCGCCGGCTCTTCCGGGGAGACCCAGTCCGGGCCTGGCCAAAACGTCTGATAGCAGGAAGACGAGGCACGGGGCTCTTGGTATTGTGGAATCGAGTCTCAGACTATACCAAATCTGCGAACTCTAAAGCATTCAGCTTCGCTTGACACGAAACCAAGCTGACCGGGTGCCCCCACTGCTCCACGACATCGCTCGGCCAGTGGAGGAGAGCTTAATCTAATGCGGGTTGGAGGCCACCACACCACTCGTCGCTGGAAGCACTAATGTTGATTAGCCCAGGTCGGTTACTGTCTAGCGAAATGGACCATCGTTAACGGCCGTCGGTCGCACTGACTTAAATATTGCTTGCTGGGCACTGTTTCAAACTGCTGTTGGCTGGTGTCAGGATCAATGGCTCCTTCAACTTTGTTCCTCGCGGCGCTCGCCCTCGGCGCTGCCTCCCAGGCCAGTGCGACCTCCAGGACGGTCCCCGTTGCGGCCACAACAGTCCCATCAACCAACTCTGTGGCCAATGCTCCCTTCTTCGCCAGTGAAATCCACCAACTTACAGATGGCGTGCTAGCTGGGCTGCAGGCTTCCCTGGGAAACTCTACCGCTCTATTCGAGTTCGGCCGCAATACCTCTACAAAATCCCTCTCATCCGGCGAGTGCAAGGTCTTCCCCAGTGATGCAGCCTGGCCATCCGACGCGACATGGTCATTGTTTGACCAGTTGCTTGGAGGTGCGCTCATCAAGACGGTCCCGTTAGCTGCAGCCTGCTATCCGTCCTGGTCCGAGTACAATAAAACCGAGTGCGATTATGTGTCGGACGAGTGGACCGTCTCCTACCTCCAGTAAGTTAACCCCTGTTACCCCCGCCAGAGCGAATTGTATTGACAAAGTTGGACAGTGCAGCAGACCCCGCGTCGGTAATGTGGCCGCTGTTCGAGGGCCGCAGTTGCTTGCCACCCGACCTGGCCTCCGGATCTTGCACTTTGGGGGGCTACAGCAGCTACGCAGTAAACGTCAGCACGGTAGCGCAAATACAGCTGTCCGTCAACTTTGCCCGCAATGCTGGCCTGCGCCTAGTTGCCAAAAATACCGGTCATGACTTCAATGGGAAGTCCACTGGCGCTGGAGCCCTCGGCATCTGGACGCATCACCTCAAAGATATCGTCTATTATGAGAACTACCAGCTGGGCAACTACAGCGGTCCCGCGGTCAAGATGGGTGCCGGTGTTCAGGCGTTCGAAATTTACGAGAAGGCCAACGAGCTTGGGTTTACTGCAGTAGGTGGCGAGGGGAAAACTGTGGGCGTGGCCGGTGGCTACGTGCTTGGAGGAGGTCATTCACCCATGTCGAGTCTGTACGGATTGGCTGCAGATCAGGTGCTGGCACTGGAGGTTGTCCTTGCCAGTGGCCAGTTTGTCACCGTTACCGAGCAATCAGATCCTGATCTATTTTGGGCCCTTCGTGGTGGCGGTGGAGGTAAGTTGCACAAGCCCCTTTCAAGTCCCTCGACCATATCATTTACGCGGACGACCAGGTACCTACGGCATTGTAACCTCCGTCATCTCTCGTGTCTACCCCAAGGTGCCTGTGACTGTGTCGACCTTCTCGTTCGCTACTGGTACCAATGTCTCGGCTGATACCTTCTGGGCCGGTGTGCGTGCCTACATGCAACGGTTTCCAGTAAACGCCGATGCTGGAACCTACGCCTACTTCTGGGTCATCTCGACGGGCACTGACGCGTTCGAATTCCTCATGAACCCTTATTTTGCGGTTAATCACACCGTAGCCGAGTTCAATGCCCTGATGCAGCCGTGGTTTGACGAGCTAAATCACCTTGGTATCTCCTTCCAGCCGAACACGACTTACTACGATAACTTTTACGACGCCTGGAATGTTGGCTTCCCGTTGGAGACCGTCGGCTCGGTGACCATGATGACTGGATCCCGACTCTTTCCACGCTCCAACTTCGAGGACCCATCCCGATTCAACCAGACCGTGGCCGCTCTCCGCTCCACCGTTTCGGCCGGTTACTCGCTTCTGGCCTTTAACCTCAAAGCGGATTTGCTCGATGGAGTTGCCTCCAGCTCCGCCAACCCAGCCTTCCGCAAGACCCTGATGCATGCCATCACATCGACCAGCTGGTCAAGCAATGCGACCAATGCCGATATCCTCGAGGAGATGGAACACTTTACCTACGATATCCTGGGAGAGTGGCGGCGCACCTGCCCGGAGGCGGGAGCCTACATGTCCGAGGCGGATGTCATGGAGCCGAATTTTCAGCAGGCCTTCTACGGCTCGTACTACGATCGACTGTACGCCCTGAAGCAAAAGTATGATCCTACAGGACTGTTCTATGCACCGACTGGGGTGGGTAGCGAGGACTGGAAGGTGCACAGCTTGGATGGGCTGCCAGATCAGAACGGCCGGTTATGTAGGGTGTGAGTAGTACTCACTTGTCTCGATCGTATATGTGTTTGTATTGTAAATTCCTTGAGAGCAAGAATCATAAAATTGGACAATAGTGGGTCGCATTCAATCATGCATACATTTATCGCGCCTTTTTGCTGCCTCGCGCCCTCTGGACTGCGGCTCTGTGGCCTAAGGTCGATAGTCGTGACTTGTAATCTTCCACTAAGAAGAGACTTTGAACGGCTGGCCCACGTATAACCGACGTTTACAACCATTCCAAGATGACCAACGCCGGCACGTTGACAGGAGGTCAGAGAGGGGCCACTAGGTATAATATTCAGGCTCGATTGACACGAGTCACTCGACATTACGTGCTCATCCGGTTATCGGGACGTTGTACCATCCGGGGAATAAGCAGCTAGTTCTCATATTTGGAACGTAATCCGTCCGTGTTAGACGTTGAAAAATATCATGCATCCTACTTGTCGCAATGACCGGTGATATCGCAGGCGATTTTCTCGGCTAGGGCATCTGTGTGTGGTCAGCTTGATGCAATCAGTACAAGAGGCACCGGATCGTAGCTTACATATTGTAGCCTGCGGGTGACCCGGAGGCAGCAGAGGGAAAATAGAGGCATCGACTACCCGTAGCCCCTGCACTCCATACACGCGGCCCTGGGTGTCTACCACAGCCATCGGATCGTCGGGAGTGCCCATCGCGCATGTGCACGAGGCATGCGAGACGGACATGGCATTCCGGCGGATAGAGGCTTCGATCTCCCTGTCTGTTTCGACCGAATCCCCCGGAAACGCTTCCGGGCCAATTACCACCGGACTGAGGCCACTTGATTGCCAAAATTGCCGCGCACGCTTGACTCCTGCCACCATAACCTCAATGTCTGCTGATTCAGTGAGCCAGTTTGGGTTGATTAGCGGCGGGACTGCAGCATCCCCGGAGGTGATTGTCAGGTTGCCCCGGGACTGCGGTGCCCCGATGGCAAACCCAATGGATGCGTAATTCAAACCATCATCAGGCTCCTGCGTCGCATCTTCCATTCCCCCTATATACGATGCCCCCAAGACATACTCAATCTCGGGCCAGTCCGATGGATACTGTGCCAGAACCTCTTGGGTATCGTTCGAGAATTGTGCACGCAGATCATCCGGAATCTTTTCCCACGCCAGGGCGTCATTCCCGGTGCTGGTATAGGGTCCAGCGGCCAGCTCATCGAATTGCCGTGCTGCCTGGGCCTGTGCCTCCGGCGAATTCATCGCAGACGCCGTGACCACATTAACGGGGTGCACGACGGTCGACCGGAGTTGGTCCTGCAGATTTTGGCCGACGCCTGCCCGATCAGCCACCACGGGAATACCAAGTGGATTGAGAATGGCAGCAGGCCCAACGCCAGACACCATCAGCAGCTGCGGCGAACCGAAGGTTCCCGCGGATAGGATAATCTCTTGAGTTGCGTTCAATTGGTAGGTGAATCCCTCGGTCTCCACCACGACTGATGTTGCCCGTCGGTCACCGTCAAACAGTATCCGCTTCGCCCGCGCAGACTGATAGACCTGATAGTTGGGGTGACTCAAGCCGCGAGTCAGGAAGGCGGTCTCGGAGGACTCCCGCAGCATCGTGGAAGCGTTAATTGTTTGCAGAGGGTATCCCAGACCCAGGAGCGAGCCACTCTGAAACCCTGGAATCATCGACAATCCCGCGCTGTTCAGGCCCTGAAGACCCCATGAAGTAAAGGCCTGGGCGTAGTGGGAGTAGGTTACAGACAGTGGACCGGTTCCGGTGCCCAGCACGCTGGCATCATACCATGGGGTGGCGTTGGCTAAACGCAAGGACTGATCGGGCGGGGTGAAGTGTAAGCTTTTTTCGAAGAAGGGCAACAGGTTGTCGAAGGTGAAGCTGTCATCGTTCACTGCATCCGCCCATTTCTGATACGCTCCTTTCGTGGCCCGATGGAATACCATGCTATTGCGGGCGGAGCTGCCTCCCAGGCATTTACCGCGCGTGTAGTGTACCTGCGCATCGTAGAGTCCCTGTCACGAACAGATCCGTCAGCGCTTGTCATCATTCATTCTGTCGATGGCCGTGAACAACATACCTCTTGCGGGGTAGTGACGTATCCCCAGTCAATCAAAGGTTGCCAGTCAGATGGCGATGGACCGCTGTATGTTGAGGCGCTGGCGGGAACCTGGCTTAGATTACCATTGTTCACCTCGTAGAAACCCCCTGCTTCGATGACAGCCACCGAGCCGTTCTGCTGCTCGGCTAGTCGCGTCGCCAGCGTCAGGCCCGCAGTCCCACCTCCTACCACGATGTAGTCGAATGTTGCATTGGTCCCAGGAACTCCAAATGAAGACCCAAATGGTCGTTGCCCCTGGGCGTGGGCGGAAGCAATCTGGGCTACCACCAAGCTAGCTTCTAGAACAATGCGCATGCTGGAGGTTGCGTGCATTATCTATGAGACCTGGAAATTCAATGGGGAGTCACAGGGGGAGTTTATATGCCCGGTGTCTTTGCGCCCCTCTGGAATAACTGGGGTTAATTTCCGTGGTGTCCGCGAAACTCCTGCAACCGGAATGTGGGTACTGCTGCTAGTCGAATACAATGTCACTTTCTGGAATGTGGATGAATGATCCGCAGACGTATTTGCGGTCACCATGCCTCGAATCAACGGAGAATTCGGGCGTAGGTGGAGGACGATTGACAACAGTGATGCATATGTCGAGGTACTACTGCTATGTTGAGTGACAGGCGTTCATTAGTAGGGTTACTACTATATACAATGCCTAGAAGCTACCACAGATGGCTGCTTGTGACACCTAACCCCCCTTAGCCCACCTCCTACCTATCGGGCAACCGCATACTTCATCCACAAGGGGTCCTGCAGCAGACATTGCAAGCAACTCTCTTCGACTCCTACCAGTACCTCCACGCCCCCCTCGGGTGGCGCCGGCAAGACAAGTTGCAGACCGTTGATGACTCCGATGTGAGGGGCTCGCACCGCGCCAATGCGGTGGCCCAGCAGAGGACCCCAGTCCAGGCCATATAACTGAAAGTTAATCCAAGAGGTCTGCACGCAGTTGAACCCAGGAACATCCAGGAATGCCGTGGGGACTAGGCGGTCGACATCCTCCAGTTGCTCCACGAGAGCGACCAGGTCGTCTGTAAATTGCCGGTCGGCGCGGAGCACTTCTTTACGAATTAGGATGGCCAGATCTGCGAGGCCAGCAGAGCCCAGAATGGTGCGAATCGGTAGGGAGACCCCAAGATACTCCAGGAAGCAGCCCAGGGTTTCCGGGTGCACGGGCGGATCGGTCCGTAGGCGCCCGTCGATCGCGAGGTTAAACACGGATACGGGATCACCCTGGAGAGTATCCAAGGGCCACTGCACAGCCATCACCGTCCTCCAGAGCAACGCCGACAGGGCGTCATTGGTGGAAATCCAAGTTTGGTCTGAGGTCATGGTCGCATGAGCGGGAGACGCTGCTTCCTTCAATGCCACGAGCGCTGCAGGGGAGAAATAGAAGACTTGGGAGCGATGATTCTGGGCCAGCATCTTGGGAGGCGCTCCGGACGGTGCAGATGGGAGCAAGGTATACTGGGGATGGCTACCCAGCGAGCCATCAGTACGTCCAGACGCACTCATTACGCATTCGCGATCTCGAGCAATCGCTTCTGGGAGCTCGATGGGTTCCGGGATGGCCATTCCCTGGGCGCGACGACACTCCTCCGCCCAAACTTTCATCCACACCTGGTAGGTCGTGCCGTCACCAACCACATGCAGCACGCACCAGTTCAGTAGTAGGCCACCCGGGATAAAGTTGGCCTGTAAGAGCGACACCGGCAACCGCTCGCCCGGAGTTGGCCATACCGAGCGGCGGCAGAGCACGTCGGCGTCAAAGAAAGCCACCGGGAACGCCTTGGCCTGAAGCTCTGTGTATGTTGTGGGAAATGCGCCCAGCGCACGCAGATCTCGCGTCTCTATCGGCTCGATATCCCCCTCAGGGAGACGTTGGAGGCGAAGGACACCTCGCTGTGTTGTGCGATCGTCCGGCACCGCCTCACATGTCATGACGGGTAGCCGGCGAGTAGTAGCAGCATAGCTCACCCGGAGAACCTCAACCACCTGCTCGAGATCATATTTATTTCCAAGTGGAAAGGGAAAGATATACCGCACATAGCCCTTTGGACCGATACGTTCCAACGCCGTGAGGCTCGGGATGTCGCTCGCTTCAGCTATGGAACCCATTGCACCACACGAGATGATCCGAGCAGAGCGTAGTTGTATTGAGGACAGGGTGAGTATACCGACATGCAATCTGGACACAGGTCTATCGTCTCCCAATAAATACCCTCAACTCATGATAACCCCGCAGACGGCCTATGGATTGGCGGAGGAGGAGCAGACGCTAAAATGCTTGCTACTGCGGCCTCATCAGGTCAAGCTTCCCAATACGTCGACTGACAGGAGAAATTAATACCCGCTCATGGGTATGATTGGCCATGAGGTTGGCCTGTGTTAACTATCGCTGGCGATAACATGGATTCGTTCCTTGAAAGCCGTTCTATCCGACGGGGAGCAGCGGATGAATTGTGATCGTCGCCACGATCCCCGTCAGGTGTCAGCACTAATGCAAGGCGAACATGCTAAAAGTGACACCGTTCTTTGTCCCGATGCTCCAGCCAGCGACTATAATCCTAGCTTGGATGGCAGCCCCTAGTAGCTAGGTGAGTGCGAAAAAAAAAAGGAGCAAGTGGCCTCTCCCAACCGATGGCCGTTTGGTTTAGTTCACTGCACGACGATAACCAGTTTAAATGTTTCCTGGCTGCTCCTGTCACCGTGTTGGCGCCGATATAAAGGCTGAGGAAGGGGAAGGTCTGGTCCTGGCTGATTAGGTCGGTTGAGACATGGGCGCGAGGGACTTGGACCCAACTATCGTGGCCATCTTCGGTCAACCCCCTGCCCACATCAATCTAGCCGTTAGCCAGGTGCGTCGAGACAATGCAGCCGTCGTTTCTTTGCTGGTTCTCAGCATTATTGCTGTGGTCCTTCGGTTCATCGCGCGACTGGCCGTGCGAAATCCTTTTCGACTGGACGACTGGCTGATTCTGGTGTCCCTGGTGCGTGAACAACATGTGTCGGTCAGAAATTGATCTTCAAGTTCTAACATCAACATTGCTACTTACCAGGTTTTCGTCGCAGCCACGGCAGGCCTAAGTCTAGCAGGTAGAACGCGGATTACTTCCTATTTTCCCCGATACATCAGCCGCTAAGTATTGGTTAAATTCTAGGCAGTACATTGGGCGCTGGAAAACACGTGTGGGCAGTATCTCTGGGGGATATATCAAGCATCTTCAAGGTGGGGTTTGTGCGATACTTTTCAAGCGTATCAGGTTGCTTACCCGTCAGATCCTGTTCACATACACCTTTATGTATGCTGCCGGATGTTCAGCTTATAAACTCTCGATCCTCTTCTTCTACCGCCGCGTCTTTGTGGTGGTCCACCAACCCCTCTCCCTCCGACTCTCTATTCTGTTTGGGTTTCTACTCGCGCTCTCTTACCCCGTCATTGTCTGGGTGGCTATGGGAAACTGCTGTCGACCGCTGTCCTATTTCTGGAATCAGTTCCTGGGCGCGTCGGGAACGTGTATTGACACCGACACATTCTTCCTCGCAACTGGAATCATCAACATGGTCAACGACATTATAATTCTGCTCATCCCCTTTCGACAGATTGCAAAGCTGCAGATGAACCGCCGAAAAAAAATTGCTGTTTGTCTGATTCTTGCATTGGGTGGCTTGTGAGCGTGTCCTGTCCCGGGTTTGGAACACACCTAACGTACATTGCAGCGTTTGCGTAGCCAGTGCCGTGCGCATTTACGTTCTCTATCGATTCACTCAAGCTCGTGATATTACTTGGATGATGGGACCGCTATTTATCTGGTCCAGTATTGAGCCATCCGTGGCCATCGTTTGCGCCTGTCTTCCCCATCTCGGGCCCCTGGTGCGTCTCACGCGCATTCGGATACTATCCAGCCAAGGCAGCAAAGGTAACCACATGCCTTTCACCGGTTCTCCATGGCAGCCGTCGCGCCGTCATGAAGGGCGGACCCATTGGCAGGCTGGCATACAACTTAGCCCACCAAGACACGTGAGGGCCCTATCCTCTACATGCGGGGTGGCCGAAGACGAGGTTGGGCTCGCCGTCCATGGGACGGCTGACACGACGGCACAGCACACGCCATCTCTGCGCTCAACATCGGAATGCCCGATTCCAGATCACTCCATTGTCGTCCGGTCCAGCTTGGAACAAACCGTCTCTTACCGCTAAGTCAGGTAGTATGACAGAGTGTGCACGGCACGGACAGTGGAGATGGACTTCGTATTCATATCAGATTAGGGTGTATACGAGTACACCAGCTATGTTTAGATAGTGTCAGCAAGAATTACGGACTAGATTGGTGGGGCAACGGCAAGAAAGGGTCGAGAGGCAAGACTTCACCTCCTCCCGTGTGTCAGGTCTACCCGAAACACAATCAAGCCCAGGCCAATGGTCTCTCGGTCTCATCCACAGTCGATCTACATCTATGTCTCTACTGATTGGATCACGATGCCAACGTCCTGAAAGCCTAGCTGGATGCAGGATGTATGAGTGAGCGACTTTGCTAGATGGAAAAGAGGTCTCGTCGCTAGAGTACGTTTTCGTCCTCCACTCTCTCTGTCCAGCGCTAGAATCCGTTGCATGGCTTAGCTCGAGAGCTAATAGTAAACGAGTGTGTATTAGGCAGACTGTTGATGACAATAAAAAAGTGATAGAATATGAACGAGTGACTATTATGTATATTACCACGCAATGGCAATCGATGAACAACATCATGCTCGGAGCACCACCTCCAACAATCCAAGCCACACCTCCCTGGATCGCTGTCCTTTTCAGGTCGAGTCCTCGGACGCCTTCACCACGACGGGAAAGCTTTCGCTCGCAATCTGCGAAGAGTCCTCCACCCACACCAGCTTGTAGACATCTTCATTGTCTGTCTTCGACGCCCAGAACTGTGCTTCCAGCTGGGTATCGTTGTTGTAGACCAGCTGCGATGCAAAGAGGCCAAAGCCCGTGACCACACCATTCAACCCCTCAGCCTGGGCAAAAGGCAGCACGCCAAGACAGTTGTCGCTTTCCGGTCGGATATAGAGGGATCCTGCCCGAGTACCGTTCATAAACGTGCCGTTCACGATCCAGCACTCATCAGTGATGGAGGGCAGATCCCAGGTCATAGGAGTCAGGTCCGCCGCAGTGTTCTCCGGATCTTGGGCGATGTAGAGAAGACCTAGATTGTCAATTAGCCGCGGCTGAGTGGTACATAGCTCCGGTGGCCATACCGTCACTGAGCCCATAAGCAATGGGGTAAGCGGAAGAGTTCTGTCCATAGGCCAACAGGGTGGCATTGGTCTCCGATCCTCTCTTAACGTGGGTGCCCCAGGCAGCACTCAGGCTAGCCTGCAAGGCGATCAGAGGGCACAGAAAGTTCGTCCACTGCATCGTGGATATTGGAAAGATAGAAAAGCAAAGGAGTGAAGAAGAAACGAATGTGAATGATAAGGAATGTGCTTTGTGTATTCCCGCCAACGAACAAAAACGTGGTTCTCCTACTATTCTATATAGGGGCCCCTCCCAGTTATAGACTCATTGCTCTAGTGGATCACTAGCCCCCGAATACCAAAGTTAATATTCCTAGCAAGATCTAGGTTCATATCTCTCAGACGGCTTTTCCGGGACTCATTCCGCGGGCGACTGGCAAAAATCTTCGACGGCATGCGCGGTCCTCAGGCCATGCTAACCGCAGCCAAACCTTGATTCTTGCGTGGGTGACGCGCATGCCTGGCCGCAAAGTAGGGCTGATGGGAAACGGCAACACACTGGCAGGCGCTGAAGAGCCAGTAAAAAACGGTAGACCTGAAGTGCGATGGAGACGGCAATTGTGGTGCCAAGAGCTGGAAAAAAATAGATCTTTCGGGTGGAGACGGTTGGGTGATGACGTTGCGGAACCACGCGAGCTTATGTGGCTGATGCCCGCGATACTGATTATCGTTCACGGTAGTCTGCGATCTTGACCCATCTGGTCTGTTGATCCTTGCCCCATGGGGCTCTAGTCCCTGTAAACTAGCTGGAGATTGTCCCGACACCGACGCAGCATAGCCTGGTTGGCTCTCGATCGTCACGGCATAGGGCTCTCAGGGCTCTCGGTGTGTCTGAAACCTGACCGTCTTCATCGACCCTCTGCCACAATGATACCCTTCATCTGTGGGAGTTGAGAGATCTTCGAGTTCTTCCCGTTTCTAAACTTGCCGGGCCTGATTCTTACGTACCACAGGAAAAGCTGCCTCAAGCGCATCCTTGGGCCCTCTAGATACCTAAAAACATTTCCGTCCTTCCTTCTCGCTCGGTTTCGTAGGCTTCAATATGGTCCTCATGAGTGTGGCCGCTTATATATATTTCCGTTATGCTCTGTCCGATCCTGCATTTTCTGTACCCAGAACCAATCAAGACTTGATCTTTTGATGCTGACAGAAAATTTAGAAATATTCCGGATGTTGGTTGTTGGTCCAAGAGCAACGCAAGCCGGACCTCTGGCATGCGTGTCACCGGTGGGTCCCTATGAATGGTACCCCATTTCACGCCAATACCAAGGCGTAAAGAGCTTGATGACCAAGATAGACTCTCACCATCCCCATGGTGCCTTAAGCCTGTAGAGATCGTCGGTGGGGAAACGGATGAGCGGCCCTAGTTCCAAAGACCATCGACGGTACTCTACCACAGAGACGGACCACGGCCGAGAAGAGGTACCAGGAGGTTATCCAGCAATGGTCAACCATCTTAGAGAATCTTATAAAACTTGACCGTCTGGAAGCAGATATGCCACTCCTACAAAGTATCATCCAGTCCTCATTGCAGTGGGCTTGTCATTCTTTGGTGCTATAATTCACTCCCTTCGTGTTCTCTTTGACTTTGCATTTCATTTTTTTTTCTTCCTTTTCTACTGCTTGATTAAGTCGCTCGCTCCTATCTTCTTCTCACGCGCTACGTCCGCGTTAATATTAGTATAATGTGGTTTTCTGCCTCTTTCCTTCTGTCGGCCCTTGCCATACCACAGGTCCTCGGAGCCTCCATCCCGTCCACCTCCGAGCCCAAATCATGCGTCAACAGTCCGACCAACCGTGCATGCTGGCGAGACGGGTACAACATCTCCACCAACTACTATGAGGAGGTCCCCGATACCGGGGTTACGCGCGAGTACTGGTTCAATGTGGAAAATACCACCGCCGCTCCGGATGGCGTTGAGCTACCTGTCCAATTGATCAATGGCACCTTCCCTGGTCCCACGATTATCGCAGACTGGGGAGACACAGTCAGTAAGTAGTATTGCCCCATCCTTGTACTTCGTCTTTGTGTCTGACTGTTGGACCTGTAGTCGTGCATGTCACCAACTCTCTGCAGAATAATGGAACGGGTCTGCACTTCCACGGAATTCGCCAGAACTGGACGGACCAGATGGACGGTGTGCCGAGTATCACCCAGTGCCCCATCGCTCCGGGGCAGTCATACACTTACAAATGGCGCGCTGTGGAGTATGGAACGGGCTGGTATCACTCCCACTTCTTCGTCCAGGCGTGGGATGGTGTCTTTGGTGGAATCGTGATCAATGGTCCTGCCACAGCCAACTACGACGTGGACCTGGGTCACCTTTTCCTTAACGATTGGTATCATGTATGTTTTATCTTCACATCAATCCCCCGAGGGTAAATCAAAGAAAAGCAGTGCTGATTGGGTTAGAAAACGGCCGATGAACTCGTCCTCGAGGCCGCCACGGATGGACCGCCCACACCCCCCAACGGCCTAATCAACGGGACGAATACCTATGGCAGCAACGGTTCACGCTTTGAGACAACCTTTGACGCGGGCACCAAATACCGCCTTCGCCTGGTCAATGCTGCGGCTGACAACCACTTCCGCTTCATGATCGATAATCACACGATGGAAGTGATCGCGGCGGACTTTGTCCCTATCCACCCTTACAACACCACCCAACTAAGTATCGGGATGGGCCAGCGTTACGATATTATCGTCACGGCTAAGCAACTGAACAGCGGGAACTTTTGGCTTCGCGCCATCCCCCAGGAGGCCTGCTCCGAGACGGATGCCTTGAACAACATCAAGGGCATCATACGCTATGACAACTCTTCCACAGCAGACCCTACTACCTCGGCCTGGAGCTACACCGATTCTTGTGCCGACGAGTCCTCCTCTGATCTCATCCCCTACGTAGCCATCGATGCCTCGGACAGTTTCGCCTACAGTACGACTGAGGAGGTTGCGATTGAGGTCGCTGAGAACGCTCTGCTGTGGACCATGAACAAGACCACCTTCCACACCGAGTGGGATAATCCCACCCTGATGCATGTGGCAAACCACAACTACACCTGGGCGGCCAAGGAGCGCATCATCCATCTCCCCTACCGGGACGAGTGGGTCTACATGGTCGTCCACTCTCCCTTCGCTCAGGACCATCCCATGCATCTGCACGGGCATGACTTCTGGGTTCTAGCCTCCGGCTACGGTGATTTCGATGCCACGATGTCCGATGCCTTGACATTGGTGAATGCCCCCCGACGTGATGTGGCCATGATGCCTGCCAGTGGTTATTTGGTCATTGCATTCAAGACAAACAATCCAGGTGTAAGTACTCACATTTCGTTCTTCTTCCTTCCTCCTTTCAGCTTTCATTCGCTAACTGGAATTGGTAGGCATGGCTCATGCACTGCCATATTGCCTGGCATACTTCCGAGGGCTTCGCAGTGCAGCTGCTAGAGCGAGCCCCAGAGATTACCTATGACTACGAGAAGCTAAATAACACCTGTGCCAGCTGGAAAAGCTACGTCGCGGCTCAGGATGTGGTGCAGCACGATTCGGGTGTTTGAAGTGTCGCGTTGGGAAGTGGCCCCTTATTGAACGACTAAGGAATCGAACATTCGTTATCATAATCTCACTAATCTTCCTGGTTGCTCATGGGCTTCCATGATATAGTAATGGAGCTTTGGCATAAGTGTCATTCTAACTAATCAATATATTTGTCAACTTCGTATCTTTGCTTCCTGATCGTAGATCTCATCTAATCCACCGCACGGAGTTAGGGATCCTTACCAGGTACCCGAATTACGGTCATACCATCAATACCACCCATTACAATATGTCCCACACTAAAATAACCAACTTTCCCCAATACGCAAGATGATAGCGCGTGTAATATAACGGTAACTAATACATAATAGATACCGGCAGTGTCAAATATATATATTAGTATCCATCGCCCACGTCTTCTCCTGAAACTGCTGCAATCTAAACCCAACTGTACTACTACCAGCTTTTCGAGCGTCTGTATGATCTCATTCGGTCTATCATATTGGTAAATATGGTTCGTATTCCTCTAAAGCCCCCTGAGTACTACAGACTCAGTCCACGCTCATCAGTGGACTCGAATGCTTTGCTCTCCGTTTCGGACTTTGAGGACTTTATCACCCCCAGAAGAGCAACTGGCAGGCGCTTTCTATTCTCAAGGCATCCATCATCCGGAGCCGTCCTTTTCTACCCCAGGCAGTTTCTTCACCATGTGATGCGTCGCATAATTCCCCGTGGGCTTGGTGGTCTTGTACGGCTCATCATAGGCTTCTTGATCCTGTTGATCGCTTTGACGGGCATGCTATGGCCCTCATATACGCATTTACCCCCACACTACCAGTTTCTCCGCCAGCAGGCCTCTCGCAGCGGCATTGCAGGACGAGGGAACCCCCATAATGAGACAGTCTTCATTGCAGCCATCCTCTACGACCCAGATGGCAAGCTAGCCAGTGGGAGATGGGGGCATGATTTGCTGCGCTTGATCAATCTGCTGGGCGAAGAAAATGTCTTCCTCAGCATCTACGAGAACGAAAGTGGCGACGAAGGTCTGACTGCCCTTCGGGACCTAGAGGACCAGCTGCCTTGCCGCAGTTCGATACAAATAGAACTGGACCTGGACATGAGCACGTTCCCTACAGTAACTGTCCCAGGAGGAGGCAAACGGGTGAAACGAACAGACTATCTCGCGGAAATGCGGAATCGTGCTCTACAACCGCTAGATGAGCACCCAGAGATTAAGTATGACAAGATACTATATCTGAACGACGTGATCTTCGATCCCATTGACGTGCTCCATCTCCTCTTCTCTACCAACAGCGATGAGAATGGGGTGGCCCAGTATCGGGCCGCATGCGCAGTCGATTTTATCAACGCATTCAAATTCTATGATACATATGCCACAAGGGATCTGGAGGGCTATGGAATTGGCCTGCAGTTCTTCCCTTGGTTCACTTCAGCGGGGTCGGGAGCCAGCCGCAAAGATGTCCTGGAGGGAAAAGATGCGGTTCGAGTGCGCAGCTGCTGGGGTGGAATGGTGGCATTCGATGCAAAATATTTTCAACGACGCGAAAACCCAGTTCGCTTTCGCGCCGATCCAGATTTGTTCTATGATGGATCAGAATGCTGCATTATTCACGCCGATATTCAAGATTCATCATTGGACACCACGAAGACCACAGACAAAGGCATCTATATGAACCCATTTGTGCGGGTCGCATACGACGAGCGCAGCCACTCCTGGCTGTGGGTAACACGGCGGTTTGAGAAACTATACCCGCTTGTCCACAATATTGTCAACCACATGGCAGGCTTGCCACGATACAACCCCCGTCGGAGTGAGATTCCTGGCCAGCTGGTCAAAGATACGCTGTGGGTGCCCGATGCGACTGATGCACGCGGGGGCGCATTCCGTGAAGTGGAGCGTGTCGCGGGGAATGACGGCTTCTGCGCAGATGGCTTCGGGGGGTATCGGGGGCTTTCAGTGATTGTGGAGGACCGACAGCCTGGCCAGGATGGATGGGAGGATATTCCACTGCCATCGATTTAGTTGTTCGCGTATACCACGACCTTGCGCATACTATAGACATGCAAAGACTAGAAAACTCCAAGATATTTGTTTTCTTCGGAATCGGACCACTACTTGTCATCAGCACTGCTTCGACAGCCGATGCTCATCAAAGTAGCAGACCCTGGGGCACTTTGGACCAGGTCCGACACCTGCCAAACACCGTTCGACAGAACTTGCCATACTCGACCCGCAAGTTAAATTCTCTCCAGGATCCTTGCGCGCGATGGAACAGGCGCGCAGAAGGGTCTGTGATGGGCTTAGAGCCCATGTTTCCATACTTTCCTCGACCAGGACTATTTAGGATTAGCGCGTCGAAGTAGATGCGAGTGAAGAAGAAGAAGGGACATACCTGAATCCAGTGATAGGCAAAACCAAGACGTCATCTACTAACTTACTCTTCCCTCCGTCCTGCAAGCTTGACAATGCGTTCCACCTAAGACCGACGATGGCCTTGAGCCAGCTCTGGACTGCATGAGTGAATGCGACAGGTCCAGTGAGGGTAATGGGGTCGAGCGCGCCCAGATCGCTAGACTGTGACTGAGGCGCAGGGGTGCGTTGATCAGAAACACCTGGAACTTCCGTGAAGAGACGATCGAGAAAGATCTGCAAGATTGGATGGCCTGGCGCCCATGCAAATGCCCACTGAGTTAGCTGCACGGGCAGCAGGTATCCCATGCGCCAGTAGGCATCACTGTTTGGCGGACAGTCGGCTTCTAGTCCGACAATCGCTCGAACGGGTCCCGTAAAGTTATACACACGCCCAGTTTCATGATCCTGCCACCGCGCGATATCAGCCGCGGTGATCCAAGATGCCGGCGATTGCAGAGGCTCAGTGTCGATATCTGCGTACTACGCGTTTGTCAGTTACCTACATGTGTAATATAAATGAAACACGGACCATCTACTTACCACCCCTCCGATCCACTTGGACACGAAAATCCGGAAGACATCCGACTGTTCCACGTGGCTGGATAGAGCATAGAACTGTTTCTCTCGTTCTGGTTCGAACCGCCGAATGAACTGTTGTATTCCGTCATCGTCCCACAAGAAGTATGCCATCTGCTCATCCCCCGTGCGCAACCATTTCTCCGTGCTCTGCTGTAACACATGCGGCCAGGTGTCCACCCGCGTGTTCTTCCAGGTCTGGTGTACAATTAGGGGAATCAAGGAGTGGGGGATCTGCCGTTGAGGGGTCTCCTGGACCAGGCGCAACACTTGCTCAGCGGCGTCAACGATGTTTTCGGGGGGCTGGCTCGTTTTATTCGTCCAGGTCGGGGGGATATACCACGCTGGAGACGACCTGTCTTAGCTAACGAATTCCAATTCTTACGCAGCAGTTATATGTTGCTTACCTCCGCCACTGCGGGTGTTCGTGTGAACACGTTCAAACAGCAATGGGTACCGATGTTGAAGAAGAGAAACCTCCTTGACCGACGTATCAGGCTGTTGGAGCAACCACGTGAAAAGCACTATGATGCAGAGTGTGCCCAGCATGGGACGTCGCAACAGATAGCGCCAGATCATAGTGGTGATGATTGTTATGTTTCAGGCACGGGGAGTGGAGAGTTGAATAATCCGGCGGCGGCAGAGGTCGTCAGCAAAGGCCATGATGATCTTACAATGGGGGAAGGGTGGTTAGGCAGCTATGGATGTGCCCTGGTCTTCAACTTATTGCTGCGCCGTGCTTCATCTTGTCTGCGAGGCCTGGCTGGGGTATAACTTCCCGCGGATCCCGTCCCTTGTAATACGGCTGCCTAGCAATGGCCCCCAAAATTTACCAACAATCAACTCAGAACCTTGCTCTGGCCAGACCCTGGTTACAGTAGCTACTAATCCTAGCAAGTACTAGTAGGTGTCATGATACGAGGTGAATCACACGCCCTGACCAATGAGAGGCTGGGATGGCTTGCATGGCTTACAGAATAGGAGCCAACATCAGGGCCTGCGCCCTACGCAGCCCTAGCCGCGGTGGGTCGAAGCTTAGTATTGCTTGGATTCGTGGACCCTTTCTTGGGCCAGATGGCAGTGCATCTCTGGCGAGGTTCAATTCACGTCTTGTTAGTACAAAGAAAAATTTTCCATCCTGTTTGCACTGTGCCCCCTGGGTGATCAGCGTAGGTATGATTGGCTGCTTACCCTGGCCAATATGCTTGCATGACATACCTAATAAGGAAAAGTTCATCCGGGGCGGGACGGTCCATAAAACCAGTCGCAAGTTGCCAATTGCTGATCATGTCTATACCCTTGCTGGCCGGTCGTGTTAGCACAGTCCGAATCCAAGGGGACATCCCACTGGGCTCGGAAAGAAGCTCGGAAAGTCGAGCAGTGGGTTCTCCAGGCAGAAACGGGACCGGAGGATTACTGGTGAAACCCACCTGCAATACACGTAAATACCATCGGCGTCTCCCGTATCACAACTGTAATACCATTCGGAGCTTGCCCTGTTGGCGGCTCAAAACCTGTCCATCACTGCCTCCTTCACTATTCAATTACATCCCTCAAATAGCCTCTTCATGTCCATTATGTACTTTTGCCTTCCTTGCCATGCCTTATCTCAGGTCCAAAGCCTTTTAGGCACTGTGAGCCAGTCGCAATGGCTCACGCGCGCATCCGCCTCGTGCTGGCAGCCCTTCTTCTCTTCATTCTAACCTCCCTGCTCGCCCCATTTTTTTATAATCTTTACCTACTGCTGCGATTACCCTTTGTGTGGAAAACCTCATCTGCCAATGCGATTATCACCCAGCAACATGACGGATTCGATCTGACCTTTTCCGACTACAACAGCACGTACTCCGTCGCTGACACCGGCCTGCCCGTCCCTGTCCCTGCACGGCTGCATCACGTCCAATTGGGTACACAATCCCCACGTCCAGAGTGGCAGGCTGCTCGCGATGAGTGCCTCAAGCAACATCCGGACTGGGAGACGTTTCTGTGGACCGACGAGAATGCTAGTCGCTTCGTCCAGAATTACTATCCGCACTTTCTCCCCACCTGGGAAAGTTATCCACACCTTGTCCAGCGCGTGGATGCATTGCGATACATGGTTCTGCACAAGTATGGAGGCGCCGTGTTGGATTATGATTTGGCATGTAAACGGTCGTTGGAACCCCTGCGTCGATTCGAATTTGTCGCCCCAGCGGCCAACCCAGTCGGTATCTCCGTTGGTATGATGCTTGCGGCACCGAACAACCCCTATGTTAATGATCTGGTGCGGAACCTGCCAACCTTTAATCGACGGTGGTCGTTTCTGCCTTACATCACAGTTATGTTTAGCACGGGGTGCCATTATGCCTCGTATGTCACTATCCGACGCTCACAGAGGAATTGTATCGGAGCTAATAGGTTACAGAACCATCTACACCATGCAACGCAATACCTCCACCCTCCGCGTCCTAGCCGGCCCCCCCGAGAACCCGCGAATGCATATGCTCAACGGTGTGGTCAATACCCCGCTCTTTCGACATTTAGGCAGTTCCTCATGGCATGAGAAAGACGCACGCTTCATCAAAGCGTTTGCCAATATGGATCAACGGGTGGCGTTTGGGATGGTTTTGTTCGCTTTGGTGGGAGGATGCTGGGCTGTGAGCTTATGTGTGGCTCGGGGTCGGGCATGGCATCAGAGGGACGCAGTCTCGCAAGAGATAGAGATGTTGCGGAAAGCACATGGTTCATAATTACTTGTAACTATTAGATAGATATATTGCTCATGAGTCTATGTTGGGATGGCTGATTAGAGACGAATGATTTTGCTTAGTGAAAGAATATTTGACAGGAACTTGAAGTTCCGCTTAGGCTATCCGGTATAAATTATTGAACCACATATAACGGCTCACTACCAAGTACAGCACGCGATCCCACGAGTACTGACTATCATGCTGACTGAATGCTGTCCGCGCAGTAAGATAGGTCTGCCACGGGCTTACCAGCAGCGCTTTATTTCCATATGTGTCATGCTCTGTGGGCGCCGGTGGGGCTGTCAAGACCGCTGCTCCGATGCGCCATGAGAATGGCACTGATGTCAAGATTAGATCAATAAGCGACGAGTACTTGCGCAGGAGGAATGTACTCTGTAGCGCGTAGACCGGCGGGGCATGCGGAAAGCTCTCTGCATATTTCCTACTCACAGTCAGCCTTTTCTTAGTCATGATGTGTGGTCGACGTACCGAACTCCGGCACTGACGGCCCTATGGTTGATATGGCCGGATACTCCACCATCGTCGAACGTATAGATCTTCTGTAGTCTTAGTGCTCCTGTGTACTATCGTGAAAGGGTGTTGGGGCAACTTACTAGATCCACTTTCCACATGTGAACGTAATGGGCCACTATATCCTGGATGACATCTTGGCGCCACCACTTCCTTGGGTTATCCTGTAATGCACCATGCTCGAGGACGACACAGCGATCGGAGGGGATGCCGAGAGCCGCGCAACTGCGTTCGATCTCCCCTTTGCGGATATCTCCTTGGCCGTGATAGTCGCCTGCATCACATTAGAAAATTCACTCCTCGGAGAGTTTCTAGTGAAGGGAGGACTCGCCTGTCGATAATACCAACAAGGAACGGGTGACGTCCGGGTTGTTGCGGCCGTGAAGAATAGTTGGGCTAAAGAACAGAGTCTCATCATCGGGATGTGCCGTGACAAGGAGAACGTTCCGCGCTTGCTGGATGGTGTGTGGAACAAGACGCGGATCTCCCGCGAGGTAGTATGCCAGAAGAAGATACAGAAAGATGGCAGCCGATGGGATGATCAGCGCTGAATATGCCATCAGACATCTCCAGTCATGTCGCCGCACTTGGCGAAGAAGGCGCCTGAGCATGCGGGTTGGGGATCCCATCGATGAGGTCGAGGTTCTTTGTGCGGAGGTGGCGCCAAGATGTTGTTATCGCTGGGTGGAATCAAGCCCTGCACGGCAATTCAGTGTGCGGCACAGCCCTGAGGCAAGTTGTTCCGACAGTAAAAGAGAACAAAAGAAGACCATCAGTTCCTGGAAGGCCTGAGTCGTCTCGGGATCCGCGGACAAAATCTATATTGTCTATGTAATGTATTGTAATGCATACTAATGAAATACATCGGGTTGTAAGTATGGTCAGTAATAATACCGCTCGTGACCGAGATTTGGGGGTTTCGCAGCTCGCACAATCACACGCACCAGAAGCTTCGCACATTAGCCTCAATTCCAACACACAGAAATACTAGGCAGCAATATAGGCTTCTTTCGTCATTGGCTCGGCTCAGTAAGCTTGTTCTGTTCTCCAGAAGTGAGTGATTTACCTGACCAATGGCTGGAAACACCAGGGTGTCATGGCCCTGAAGCTAAGGGTGAAACAAGGCTGACAAGCTTTACTGACGAAAGAAGGCAAAGAACACCACCTCTATTTAGAGTAGTCTGTATGTAAGACCAACTCAACTAGGCCAAGCTCATGGGCCCATTGGTTCCAGGATTGCCCCGCGGAAATGAGCAGTCTCGTCGAACCCATTGAAATAGGGGTCCTGTCAGACCTCCGTCCCTCCAGATCGACTGGCCTAGCGATCGGCCCCAGCCGTCTTAAGGGTCTGGTCTGCGAAGTGGCCGATCATCATGGTATGGAATATTGTATTGGCTTGGTTGCACACTGGAGATGGCATGTAGTGGATCTAACAACCTGCTGTTAGGATCTCACTATACGAAGTGGATATTTGCTTAGCGCACCACAGGGTATTCAGGTCGTTCTCGGTCGCACCAACGATATGCCACCAAGTCAGAGGCCTTTTAGGCCCACCTGCAGCCGGTCATTCAACTCCGAAGCAACTCGTGAACTAGTGACTGCAACTTTGTCATTAAGCTGACGGTCGGCCATATGAATCCCTCGATATCTCTTTCACTGCTAGATCAAGCGGATCAAGGTCCCAAGAGTAAATGGCTACGAGCATCATCGTACTAATAGTGAAGAGTTACATGTTGAATTGTCAGCTTGGGAAGTGTTGATATATATCAGGTTGCGACCAAAGGGGGTTGAGGGGCTTGCCAAAACGGATAGGCTGCTGACCTGATATATGCTACTGTTTACAGAGTATACTTCCTCGTCTGCAAATAGCTTCAAGAAGAGACGGGATATCTAAAGGTCAAGATAATCAACTATCAAGAGTTTGTTCTGACCGAGGTGCGCCCTTCTACCATCACAGATGTGATGCGTCCACGGCAAGTGCAGATGACCTGCAGGAAGGTTGCCACGGCAATCCCGAGCTTGTCCAGAGACATCAGCAGCCATCTCTGTTCACGGTTTCAACTCCATCTTCCTGCCAGTTGAGTAGATTCATGTGTTTCACGATGTTTACTCGGCTCGGTCTATACCTCCTGGCCCTGTTCTCTCCCACCCGTGGCGATACCATCCACCACCGAACTTATTTCTACGTTGGAGGAAACTACTCAATCACCGACAATGGCGAGCATATTTACAGCAATCAGATATATGTCGAAAAATTGACGCCCGCACAAGTCACTCAGCCATATCCGATAGTGTTTGTCCATGGTCAGGCTCAGACAGCGACAGTAGGATAACCCAGGCTCCTTTGGTGAAATCGCTCTAACAGAGCATGGAACAGAATTGGTTGAACAAACCAAACGGCCAGCCAGGATGGGCATCATACTTCCTTGACAAGGGCTACGAATGCTACCTCTTGGATCAGCCGTTCCGCGGCCGCAGTCCCTGGCAATCCTTCAGCAGTCCACTGGAGACATACTCGGCCGAACACCTGCAACGATACTTCACCGCGCCTGAGCGGTATGAGTTGTGGCCACAGGCATCGCTGCACACCCAGTGGCCTGGGTCTGGGGTCATGCACGATCCCATCTTTGATTCCTACTATGCCAGTGCTGTGCCGTTTGTTAGTGATAATGTGCTGCAGCAAACTGCCATGCGCGACGCGGGCGCCGCCTTGCTGGATCGAATTGGCCGGCCAGTTATTCTGATAGCTCATTCCCAAGGTGGAACCATGGCGTGGCTACTGGCCGACCAACGATCCAATCTGGTTCACTCGATTGTCTCCATCGAGCCTGGTGGTCCTCCGTTCAGCAACGCAATGTTCGGAAACACTTCTGCTCGAGCATACGGGCTGACTGACATCCCGATTGCGTACTCGCCGCCAGTGTCGGACCCGAGCACAGACTTCTCCACCACTATTCTTCCGTCCAACTCGTCAATTCTAGCGGACTGCATCATTCAGGCGGACGATCCGCCTGCGCGGCAACTGGCGAACCTGAGCAAAATTCCCGTGCTACTAGTGACGACGGAAGCATCGTACCATGCGCCGTATGACTGGTGCACAGTAAGGTTCTTGCAACAAGCCGGCGTACAGGCAGAGCACATGCAATTGTCAGAAATCGGCATTCACGGCAATGGTCATATGGTGTTTCTGGAGGAGAACAGTGACGAGGTTGCGGCTGTTATTCATGACAGGATTGGACAGTCCGATGTGGATGGGAAAGCTGAGCTTTGATGAGGTCTTACCGTGCGTCGAGGAAGGCGATGCTCAAGGTAGCCCTGTGATCTTCATGTGAACAGTGCCCGTCTTCTCTATGCCCAGCTAGTCATGTTATGGCCATGCAAATCACGAAGTTATCTTTCGCCTAAATTCATATCCGCGGGTGAGGGCCAGCATTGATACCTTAGGCAGAGCGAGGTGCAACGCATGGGCCTCTTCCTCAACGTCGACGTCCACGTAAGCATGCTGTAGGCGATGGAGAGGGAATAGACCTGTCAAGCAGTTGAGTGCAAGTTAGTAATGCTCCTACTGAAAACAATCGGGGATGAACGCCGTGCACTATCGTCACTAATTAGCAGTATCCAGAGTACCATGCTCCGCCGGCTACTACGAGCAGAGCATCAAACTAGTAGGAAAATTGTGTTCTTCTAAGACCTTTATATCAATTAAGGAACTTATATATGGACCTGCTCTATATAAATCTGTCAGCAAAGAGTAATCCTGCCGAAATGCGACCGTGGGGATTGTCAACCCCCAGCAAGCCAGGCGGCTGCCAGTATTGCCTGTTTGGGCAAGATTCACCACTCCCCGCCTCCCCGCGAAGCGGAGAAACGGAGTATCGGCCACTCCCCTATTTTTACTTCGAGAGTCGCACAACAAAGGACTGTAGTCTGACAGTATAAGTGCTGGGTAGACCCTAGATACTTCCATCCAGCAGCACAATTTGATCGTTCTCTATGGCGACCACTACGGGGTGCGAATCCATCTCACTTACCGAGCTCGGGGAGCGGCCAATCCCGACGGTGCCAGAAGGACCCAACAACGATTCTTCGGTTACCGAGGCTGAGGCTAAAGTCCCTTACTTGAAGCTCATCGCATCGGGCTTCTCCTTCTTCGTCGCAGGTGTCAACGACGGTAGTCTGGGCTCCTTGCTTCCCTACGTCCTCGAGACGTATCACGTTAGTACCGGCCTGGTAATTATCGTGTATGTCCTCCCCCCAATGGAGCCCAAACGCACCATCCCACGGTCAACCCAATCACTGATGGCTTTGCTAGTTATGTTACAACTCTTGTTGGCTGGCTTGTGGCTGCCCTGACCAATAGCACCGCCTGCCAATACCTCGGTTTAGGTGCCATGCTCGCTCTAGGGGCTGCGCTACAGGTGCTGGCTCATGTTCTGCGTGCCTGGCTTCCGCCGTTCCCATTGTATGCCATAACTTTCTTCCTAGCGAGTCTAGGACAGGCATTTAATGACACCCACGCCAATACATATGTCGCTGCAGTCAAGGCCGCCCATCGATGGCTCGGCTTTATCCATGCCATGTACATGGCTGGATGTCTGGTGGGCCCGTTAGTGGCCACCGCTGTGGCATCTGCTAATCGGCAGTCACAGTGGAATTTATTCTACATCTTTCCACTGGGGTTGGGGCTAATTAACCTGATATTGATATTGATAGCCTTCCGTGACAGCATGTCCGTCCAACATTCCTCAGAAGGCCCCCAAAGCGACGACCCGCAGGCTTCAAGCCAGGACGCTCGAAGTACGCGCGCAGTAAGGGAGATCAAGGACACACTTCGCGTCCCAGCGGTGTGGCTGACTAGTCTCTACTTTTTCTTTTTTCTGGGAGCGGCCATCACGGCCGGTGGTAGGTGAAATCACATTCCACAGGCTGAAAGGAAACTCACAACGAGATAGGATGGATTGTCGAGTACCTTGTTCGCGTTCGGCATGGTGATGTGCACCAGATGGGCTATATCCCGACTGGGTTCTATGGTGGAGCTTTTCTTGGTCGACTGGTCCTTGCTGAGCCTACTTATCGTCTAGGAGAGCGTCGCATGATATTTATCTACGCTGCTCTGTGTGCCGGGTTGGAGCTGGTATTTTGGCTGTTAGTTCAGCCAATGTTGCTTTAGACTCTCATCGACTGATGTATGGCATAGGGTGCCCAACATTGGTGTGGAAGCTATGGCTATTTGCTTGTTGGGCTTCTTTTCCGGGCCATTCTTTGCGACGGTGAGTTCTGTCGTATTTCACGATGGATCCAATTGTCTGACTTCTAAATAGGGAATATCCGTCGCATCCAAGATCTTTCCGGCTAAGATTCGCTCCTCCGGTATTGGTACGTGGACTCCATGATGATTTAACAAGCAATGTGTTAATTGTATGTATTCAGCATTTGTCTTCGTGCTGGGGCAGATTGGAGGATCGCTCTTCCCCGTATTGACGGGAATCATATCTTCCCACACCGGCGTCAAGGCCCTGCAGCCCATGTTATTGGCTCTATTATGCGCCACGGGCATCAGCTGGCTGTTGGTACCCAAGGCTCCGAGGCTTCGTGCAGACTAATCTATCAGTTAACAAGCAACTGTGGTTCCTGGCTACAGTTCACGTCTATTCAGCCTACTCCTACGCTTTATAAGATCGTTAGCTCGCTTAGGTAGAAAAGCTCACGTCATTATCATTTACTCAATAAGAGAGTAGTAGTCATATCTCGAATATTAAAAAGCCCCACAGATAATCAGAAGGTATGTAGTGATTTTCACGGCACAGAGCCTGGCTTGCCGCACACCAAGGACTGGTCTACCCCACATGATCAACGATATGTCCATTCTTCTTGGGCATGACTACGGCGTCAAAGACGTAGAGTAAATGATAACCGCAAAGTCATACTTATAGTATGATTGTTAACTAGATGCCGATGAAGAGAAATTTAGTAAGCTGATCTACATGACCCTGCACGCGAACAAATCCGGCAAATCTCGCCAGACATACCCAATTCAGTTGATCGCCTCATGAACTATCTGTGCACCTGACGAGGAGAGGGGTTGATAATGATACTCTCCCACCACAGCAACAACTGCTTTCGGAACCAAGGCTCCAACCTTAACGGCACCTTAAGGAGAATACAGCACTACACATCGTCGAAACAGCTACGTTCATCAACACTATGGAGGTACGTTCGTCTCTGCTGTCACAATATGCCGTCTAATGCGCGGGGTAGAACCCCTCATTTGTCCTGCGCAACATCAAAGATGTGGTTATTGAAGACCGGCCCAAACCCATCCTCAAAGACCCCCATGATGTGATGGTCCATGTGGCACAAACAGGTATTTGTGGAAGTGATGTAAGTTGTTTTCACTCTTCTCCGCCCCCGAAATCGTCTTTATATGTCCAGACTAACACATCACCACAGGTTCACTAGTATGCGTCTTCCCATGTATCTTATCTAAACATGATCTTGACATGCTCCCAGCTGGCAACGCGGTCGCATCGGCGACTTCGTCCTCACCGGGCACATGGTCCTCGGCCATGAATCCGCTGGCGTAGTAGTGGAAGTCGGCGACAAAGTCCGACATCTTAAACCCGGCGATCGCGTCGCCATGGAACCGGGCGTACCCTGTCGTCGCTGCGACTACTGCCGCAGCGGATCATACAACCTCTGCGGCGATACGATCTTCGCTGCGACCCCACCCTGGGACGGCACCCTCGCCAAATACTACGTCAACGCCGCCGATTTCTGCTACAAAGTACCGGACCACATGACGCTCGAGGAAGCAGCCATGGTTGAGCCCGTGTCTGTGGCCGTGGCCATCGCCAAGACAGCCAACCTGCAAGCGCACCAGACTGTGCTGGTTCTGGGATGCGGTCCGATCGGCGTACTATGCCAGGCCGTGGCTAAGGCTGCCGGAGCCAGGACCATCATTGGAGTGGATGTGGTTCCGTCCCGACTGGAAGTAGCCAAGTCGTACGGCATCGATCACACATTCATGCCCTCGCGGGCTGAGCCCGGCACAGACCCGATGGTGCATGCGGAGCGGGTAGCGACGCAGTTGAAGGAGGAGCTGGGTCTGGGAGAAGGCGTAGACGTGGTGTTGGAGTGCTCTGGTGCTGAGCCGTGTGTGCAGATGGGTATCTACGCGGCCCGCCGGGGAGCCACATTTGTGCAGGCTGGTATGGGCAAGGAGAACATTTTATTCCCCATTACGGCGGTGTGCACGCGTGGGTTGACCATCAAGGGATCCATTCGGTATCTGACCGGGTGCTATCCGGCTGCTATTGATTTGATTGCCAAGGGCAAGATTGATGTGAAGCGGTTGATCACGAACAGGTTCCCGTTTGAGAAGGCCGAGGAGGCATTTGAGTTGGTCAAGGCTGGACGGGAGGATGTGTTCAAGGTTATGATTGCGGGAGTGCAGGAGTAATGTATATCAACTCATAGCTTACTTCTGGTTGGTTGGTTGGTTGGCAGTCAAGGTGGTTTAGTATGAAAGGGAGTTTCTATACTACCACGAGACTAATCTGGGAGGATCCTGGCCGTTGAGAGATGCGCACGACATTCAGAAATTTAAGAGAATTCCCAGAGGTTTACAGATACTTTCTCTAGAAGTAGTATATAAGTTGGTGTATAGGAATGCGTAATGGGAACGGGTGATCAAGTCGCATGGTATCACACTGTTGCAATATGTATAGTCTTACATGATGGTAGCTACTAGGTCGATGGCAGACACAGTATAAACATTTCGAAGGATCACCACCTCAGGCAAAAGGACACCCATCGCCTCCGGCATTGCCAACAACACTCACGGTAGTAGTGGCTGTCACGACGCTAACATCCTGAGTTCTGGCGTGCGACGCCGTCTCTGTTTCATACAAGGCCACCGTTGGGGTCGGCACCTTGTCCAAGGTCACAGGGTGGGAATAGTCTGAGCACCAACCAATAGTCTTAGGCACGATTCCTGGCTTGACAGTTCTGGACGAGATGACAGGAGCAGGAGTGGATGAAGGAGCCGGGAGATGGGAGGAGTGGTGATGGAGAAGATGATGATCATGGTGATGGTTGTGGTGAAACAAAGCAGAGCTGGACGCGGTAGGGCTCACCGTAACATAAACGGTAGATGCTGCAGGGCAGGTAGAGGAAGCAGATGCTCCGGGGGCCGTGACGCTCGTATCGACGCATTCGGTCGCGTTGGCCACGTCGGAGACGAAGAATTTCTCAGACTGAGCATAGATGATGTAGACGTTGGTGCCGTTGATCCCGCTAATCTGGTAGCCCCACTCTGGATCGGTGTCGCAGGGGATTTGCACGGGGTATGACAGATCGGAGGTGGGAATATCAAGCGCCAAGGGGACATAGGAGGGCGGCCAGTAGACGAAATTCCAGAGATAGAGGCTGAAGGTGGTGGGATCGGTGTCAACAGTGGTCCAGTTAACGGTGATGGTGGAACCGGCGGCGTAGGTCGAATTGAGGGTCGGCTCGGTGATGCTGATGGCCGCAGCCAGGGAGCCGAGGCTGAGGATAAAAGGGATGGCTGAACGCATGACTAGAATTGATTGCCGAAATGAAGGAGAGACTGGGAATAAGAAACTGAGTATCAAATGAATGAATGAATGAATGCTATAGACGCCCAAACGAGTGACTGAAGGGGTCAGGAGGGGCGCGACGCAAGGGAGAAACCGTTAACCCTCATGGCAGGATACTGGGCAGATGCAAAGATATAAGCAGCCCCCGCTTGTGCTTTTCTCCGGAAATTGGAGGCTGTACTCGTGTCACTTCCAAGATTATGCTAAATTTAAAATCAAGCCACGCGTTCCCAACTATTGAACCACTAAGTGACGAATACCATCCGCCATTGGCTCTGTTTAAGACATCCGAGTGGAGTGGAGTGCTCGGGCCCGCCGACTGGAAAATCAAACCGTTTCCAAACAGGCATCCATCCATCTGTTTCTTGCCCGGCCTCCTTGGAAAACTCAGATGCAGCCCTTTATGAAATTATTCACATGTGGAGTCAAGAATGTTCTCACTATCGACTTGGATTCAGTGGCGCTCTTCCCATAATCTCTCACTCTAGCCTCATAGCAATTGGTATTATTATATTGTTACTACTGCAACTATACATACAGCCTGGTAAGAAATATATATTCATATTATACATTCTACAACCACTCTCTGCTGCCTCCCTGCCTGTTCTGTTTGTTTTCATAGTATGCGACAATCTCATCTAGAATCCTCCAACGCACCTACCCGAAAGCAGAACAGACTGTCTAGTACTAACCGGCAAAAGGCTGGCCCTCTTGTTCAAAAGACGGCCAGTCATTGTAATTCTCATTGGGATCCTGGAACGGCCCATAGTTCACCTTACCACCGCGAGTGTTTAAGGCGAAAGGAACACCTTTCTGAATCCGGCTTATAAGGTCCTGGATGGCTTCGTGTAAGATAGTGCCTAAATGACTGCTATGGTCAACTCACCGGATTGTAGATAAAAGGCCGTGCAAATGTCACGAGGTCGATCTCCTCCTTCTGGATCAAATGTCTTGCCTCGTCGACTGTGTACTCGTGATTCACCATGAGCATAGTGCGGCTCCCAGGATATTTGATGAGAGGGCCGAAGTCAGTCAGAGGCTCATATTTTGGGGGCAATTCTTTCTCCTGAGGCCTTTTTTGCGATCTAAAATAGTCATCGGTTTCCCGCCCAACATCACAGCCTCGACGGGATAGATCGATAAAAGCAAGATCGCGACGCATCAGCTCCTTAACTAAGTATGTGTATGTCTCCTTTATTTCGTCGTATAAAATCATGGTGTCATTATAATCATCTGTAGGGCAGATCTTGATCCCAACTGCTCGAGGACCCCAGACCTTAATGATAACATCGAGCACCTCGAGCGGGAAACGGCAGCGATTCTCAACAGAGCCACCGTATTCGTCACTGCGTGTATTCGAGTGCCTACATAACCTATAAGCTCGTGAAGTATGCATTATGTGGAGACGTATGGCTCACGAGCACAGGAAGTTGTGGAGAAGATACCCGCTAGTTAGCCGCCGTGTCAGCTCCGATTGCCCTATCCACGAAGCGTCCGTCTGCCCCTGCGTACTCACCCTTGTGCCAATAGCTCAATCCCATCAAACCCAGCCGTCTTCGCTAACGTGACAGAATGCCTGTATTGCTCGATAATGGTCTCTGGTTCATCGATCTCGGTGATGTTGTGAGTGTGGCCTGGAAGTCCCTCCAATGTACGATACTTTCCGCCTTTGGCAGGTACTTTGGATGGGGCATAGATTGGATATCCCGACTCTTTCAACATCGGCATATTTTCATTCTGAATGCGTCCTATATTTAAAATTTAGTCTACAGTCCTTGAATTCACACTCTCTTATCAGAGTACCGAAAACGTGAACGGGCAATGCTCACCTGGGTGCCATGGCTGGAAGAGGATCTTTCCCCCGACCTTGTGCACCTCGCTTGTTACCTTAGCCCAAGCTTCTGCGTGGCTATCATTGTACATCACAGGCGCATTGGGCCATTCGACACCACTCGGGCAGATAAAGGTGCCCTCTGCGACGATAAGTCCGGTGCCGTCCCGCGCTCGGTCGGCGTAATGCTTGACGTTTACTTGGGTGGGTTTATTCCCATTGGTGCATCGATTGCGCGTCATGGAGCCCATGCAAATGCGATTGCGCAATTGGATTCCATCCCCGAGGACAACTGGCTCAAGAAGCTGCACCATTGTATTGCTCTCAACAATTCGCAAATATGTGCAGGACAGGGTAACTTGGGTAATCAGAATGATAACCAGGGATAGAAGCCAGACACACAGGTGTATTTATATTCGCATTTGATTTAGGATGAGGTCGTGCCACTCCGTGTGTGCTTTGTAATGGCTCCTGGTTTGGAACGGCGATGATCGCGGAAAATGAATTCAGTCTGCAGCTCGCAGGTTCGGTTTCGGGTACATTTCATGGTTATTTGGCAAAAGGATATAGTTATGAGACATGCAGTTTGGTTATTCTCCTGCACCAACTCACAGCCACTCTTCGTATATTGCACTCGGATGTCATCATGACGGACGCTGCACTGTGGACCGAAAATCTACTATGAAGTCAAAGGAGATGGTTGGATACTTGAACTAGTCCTCGGATGATTTTCCCGAGGCCGGCGACTGATTATGGGCCTGAGGCTGCTATCACGGCCTCCATTGCCGAATCACCGAACCAAAGATTATCCCCCCTCCGCCTCAAAGCTTGGCCATTCTCGTTATTGGCAACGTCCATTTTGTTACTCAAAGCACCTTGTCCTACGATATGCACGGCATCATTAGTGCGAGATTAAAATGACACATCCGCTTACAAGCATGTCCCCTCCCCCCCTCTGCCACGGAGATCCCCACGTGCAAGGAACGGCTTCTGGAAGGCTGATTGCCAGCCACGTGGAGTTGAGTTTCTGGGGTGGCGTTGACCCCCAAACAGGCCAGGTTATTGACCAACACCACCCCTTGAGTGGCCATTCTCTAGAAGGTTGCATCCTCGCCATTCCAGGTGGCCGCGGCTCCTGTTCGGGCAGCGGGGTGATGCTCGAACTCCTGCTCAACAACCGCGGGCCCAAGGCGATACTGTTCGAGCGCCGGGAGGAGATCCTCACCCTGGGGGTAATGGTCGCGGAGGAGATGTTCGACAGGGCAATTCCAGTGATAACATTGAGCTCAGTCGACTTTCAGAGGGTGTTGAAACTTCATGACACTTACATCACGGTCGGTGACGGTTATATCTTCGACCAGGAGTTACCTGGGACATTGCATGAACTGCCTGACTGCCACTCTAAAATACTGTCGGTGCTGACTACAAAGATACAACTGTCCGATGTGGATAGAGCACTGATTCAGGGCGAGTACGGAGAAGCCGCTCGCGTGGCCATGCAGATTGTCCTGCGAATGTCCGAATTATTAGAGGTTCGCGAACTGATCCCGGTCACCCAGGTTCATGTCGATGGCTGTATCTATACCGGGCCTGGATCTCTCCTATTTGCAGAGAAATTGCGCGACTTGGGCGGCCATGTCCTTGTTCCGACTACATTGAACTCTATCTCGGTCGACCAGAAGCGGTGGCGCGCCCAAGGCGTAGATGTGGCGTTTGGGGAAGCGGCCGACCGGTTGGCCAAAGCATATATGGACATGGGTGCGCGGCCAACTTTCACATGTAGCCCCTACCAGCTGGACAGCGCCCCTAAACTCGGAGATCAAGTCGCTTGGGCGGAATCTAATGCTGTGGTGTATGCCAACAGTATCCTTGGGGCGCGTACCATGAAGTATCCGGATTTTCTCGACATCGCCATTGCTCTCACGGGCCGGGCCCCGAAAGGAGGGCCGCATGTTGATACCAATCGCCGAGCTTCACTGGTTATCCGGTTGCACGATGTTGAACGCCTGCACGACCTCGATGACTCCTTTTACCCCGTTCTTGGCTATCATGTAGGGACGCTGGCAGCCACTCAGATCCCGGTGATCGTGGGCCTCGAATCGCTCGCCCCGAACCGGGATGACCTCAAGGCTTTTGGAGCAGCATTTGCAACCGTCTCAAGTGCTCCGATGTTTCACATGGTGGGCATCACACCGGAAGCAGAGACCATAGAAGCCGCCATCCGCCCCGGAACCCACCCACCTTGTGTGGATGTGCAGATTGAGGACCTCATTCCCTGTTGGGACACACTGAACACTGCATCAGAGTGCCAAACCGTGGATCTTATTTCCCTTGGGAACCCGCACTTTTCACTGAGGGAAATTCGACGACTGGCTACTCTATGTCAAGGGCATACAAAATGCGAGGGGGTGGCGGTGATGGTAACCTGTAGTCGTGCGACATACAGCTTGGCTGGTCAAGCCGGGCTTATCCAGGAACTGGAGAGGTTTGGTGTCCGATTCATCACTGACACCTGCTGGTGTATGATTACAGAACCCATCATCCCACGTTCTCCGAATGCCATCATGACGAACTCTGGGAAATATGCCCATTATGGCCCTGGACTGACGGGGCGGAAATTCTACCTGGGCAGCCTGGCTCGGTGCGTTGACACGGCCTGCCAAGGGCGGCCAGTTGACCATCGCCCATCTTGGATGGTGGAGAAGATGTGATTTACCAGTATTCCTGGGGTACTGCCCGTACTCAAAAGGCATCTCTCGAAGCAAACACCGTCTAATCCCCGGCTTCGCACATCCCTTTGATGCCTGAGGCATCAATCCCTCGGTCGGCGACGCCACCTGACCCACTCGGGTGACTGTACCCGGTGGATGGAAAGGAATTCATCTCTCCAGTTTCTGTTGGTGCAGTGAATAGTAAGTTTTTCTCAAGCAAGAAGAGATTCTGTCAGACAATGCCATGGCTCCGACCGGACCGGATCCTGTTGCCGGAAGGAGTCCCCGACATTTTGGGGTGATAAGGAAGGCGCCCGGCAGGAGGGGATTTCTCACCCGTTCCAGCCCCGCCTGGTTATTTCTTCAGTATAAATAGTTCCACCAACACTCTGTCGGCTGTCACAGCTCTTGACAATCATCCACAATTGTGTTCAACATGTCGCAACTCTCCAACTATCGTCTCCTTAGCTTCGATGTCTACGGCACTCTGGTCGACTGGGAAGGTGGCATCCTGGCCGCCTTCCAGCCCAGTCTCGACAAAGCCAACGCCCACTTCACCCGCGAACACCTTCTCACCGTGTACCACGAATTAGAGCACGCGCAACAAGCACAGACGCCCGATATGCCGTACTCGCAACTCCTCGCCACTATTCATCCTCAGTGGACAGAGCGCCTCGGTCTGCCTCGGCCGTCAGAAGAGGAAAGCCGCCAGTTTGGAGAATCCATCGGCAACTGGCCCGCTTTCCCGGATACCGTCGACGCATTAAAGCGACTGGCCCAGAAGTACAAGCTGGTGGTGCTGTCCAATGTCGATCGCGCTTCTTTTGCCAAGACCAATGCTGGTAGCTTGCAAGGTTTCCCCTTTGATCTCATCATCACCGCACAAGATGTGGGCTCCTACAAGCCCGATCTCCGGAACTTTGAATACCTGCTCAAGGCAGTCAAGGAAAAATTCGACATCGAACCCGTGCAGGTGCTGCAGACCGCGCAGAGCCAGTTCCATGACCACCACCCGGCGCGCAAGATGGGGTTGAAGTCCGTGTGGATTGAGCGGCCGGGCGCAACAATGGGAAATCTGTCGGAGACGATCTATGACTGGCGGTTTGATACCTTGGGGGAGATGGCTGATGCGGTTGATAAGGGACTGTAGAGTAGTGAATGAGCTGATTCTTGTCTTTCAATTTTGAACGATCCCAGAGGAAATTTATAATAGAGGGAGAGAAGAAAGCAGAACTTCTCAACCAACATCTCGACCTTAGGCGTCTAATTCTAAAGTATGTATGTAGGGTGTATACTATCCTTGTAAGGTCCAATAAACGGCTAAGTGGCGCCTGTGAACTGGACCGCATCCCCACCCCGCGCCAGTCTCGGGGTGCCAGCCGAAGGTCGCTCACTACTTATTGCGTGTCGACTCCCTGGAGGTGCAGTCGTCCTGCTCCTCACATAAGGTCATATTCTGATACACTGTCCCCCTTTTACTATGGATCTATCCCACGCGCTTGAGACCGCCTCTAGCGGCGAAGTCATTAAATGCGCCGACATGCACACCACCGGAGAGCCCACCCGCATCGTCTACGCGGGGTTTCCTCCCCTCAGCGGGTCACTGCTCTCCCAGCGCGATCAGGCCCGGGATCAATACGACCACCTCCGCAAGCGAATCATGCTGGAGCCTCGTGGGCACTACGACATGTACGGCGCCATTCTCCGGCCATCTACTGAACTGGTTGAAACCGGTGAAGCTCATATCGGTGTTCTCTTCACGCACAACGGCGGCTTTTCTACTATGTGTGGCCACGCAACCATCGCGCTGGGCCGATTCCTCGTTGATACCCATGATGTGGCTGTTTTCCCGAAGCGAAACGAACTGGTCGTGGAAGACACATCAGTGGTTGTCAACTTGCATGCGCCGTGCGGATTGGTTCGCATCACCGTCCCTGTTAAAGAGACAGCCGATGGATTCAAGTCCGATCCCTCACGGGCAGTATCATTCCTGTCAACACCCGGTTATGCTGCTGCGACCAATCTTACTATCCTTATTCCACCTGAGATACGATGGAGCGAGCTTGAAGGGCGTGAGAGCATCGCCCTTGATGTCAGCTATGGAGGGGCATTCTACACGTTGATCAATATGCACGAGCTGGGATTCGCATCCACGGGACTGAAAAAGGTCGATCTTGACTCATTATCGCAAGTGATGAGAAGACTAAAGACGTATCTTGAAAGTCATCCCGATATTCTGTCTGCCTGTCAGCACCCGGAGGACAAGAGACTCTCATACCTGTACTCCATCATGCTGGTGGACACGAATGTCGGGTTCAAGCCAGACAGCGTAGCTGGTGCCGAGACCGGACTGTGCTTCTTCGCTGACAATCAGATTGATCGGTCGCCCACAGGATCGTGTGTCACAGCTCGAATGGCCCTGGCACATGCAAAGGGGGAGAGATCGGTTGGTCAGCGGTGGGCTTACAACACGGTTGTCTCCAATCACTTTCAAACCGGTGCATTTGAGGCTGAGATCGTGGAAACAGGCCTGCGGGTGGAAGGCGGAAATGCTCCGGCCAAGGATGCGGTGGTGGTGCGTGTGGAGGGGAGGGCGTACTATACAGGCACATCGAGTTTTATGGTTGAAGAGGGAGATGTTACGAGTCATGGTGGGTTTGTAATGAGTGATATGACACAATAAAGTTTGAACTGAGCATGTGTTGAATGTGAGCTGAATGTGAGCTGAATGTAACCCAGTTTTCACTAGATTGGTCTCGAATAGCAGCGAGAATTCGATATAAACATTGATTGATCCTCCAGGACAATCACCCAGTCATGCAAAGCTCAGAGTAAGCTCAAATTCAAAGCACTAACTACGGGATACAATATCTAAACATCTAACTCAGCTGAATGCCAGCCATTACCTGCTGACAGATATGTGTACTTGATTTGCTGTAATCTCCATACATGCTGCTATGAAATCTTTCTCTTTTTCTTTCCTTTGGAGGAAAGGGGCTAACTACATTCCATCCAGTAACGTGGTAGGCCATCTGACTTCATCCTCGATACACTCTGGCGCCATCGCTCAAAAGGGATCAATGTATTTTCCCCATAACCGCTAGTAGCCCTTGTCGGCATCGCGCGAGTCTTTCATTTTACGCTCACCGACCCTGTTGTTCGGAGCACAGAGGACTGGTGTGTATGTGGATCCTGAGCCCTGACCCGCAACAAAAGAGCCAGTCAAAGGCCCGTATAGCCGGCTAGACTACATTAAGACGGGCTTCATGGCACGTGCAAGCCAGGAGTAAGATTCAGGCTGGCCACAATACTGACGCACTGAAGTCAAGAAACAAGAGATACGAGAAATGCCCTCCATCAAAGTCTTCACTCGCTGGCGGCCTGCGTTGCCCTCGGAATCGCAGGCCCCTGAAATCACCCGAACACAAGAATCCAATCCTGGAAAGAACACCACGATCGCATTAACACCACCGCCGTCCCAGAAACTCTCGCGCCCCTGGAAGAGCGACTCGGCTTTTACCAAGATATTCAACGCAGATGACTCTAATCGAACTGTCTTTGAGCATGTCGTTGCACCCACTCTCCCTCGGGTCTTCAGCGGGCAAAACTGCAACTTCTTCGCCTACGGACACTCGGGCAGTGGGAAATCGCACACCATCATCGGGTATAACTTTGAGCGTCAGGAGGAGTTTGGACTCTGTTTGTCAGCTGCAAAGGCACTCTTCGAGCAGCTACACCAACTCAACGAGAAGTCCAAGGAGAATGAGAGGCTTCTCCTAGGTCTTCGCATGTACGAGCTGCGGAAGAACATCGCCTTTGACCTCCTCAACGACCGATGCAAGTGCCATATCCGCGAAGGCGCTGACGGGAAGACCCACGTCCGTGGGGAGACGGAAACCCTCGCCGACGGGAAAGTCCGCGTGCGGCCGATCGTCACCAAACCATGCTTTACCTTTGATGAGTTCCACGCTCAGTTGTTGGCGGGTATTCAAAGCAGGGCAACGGGCACATCTACGATCCATGATCAGAGTTCTCGGACGCATGCTGTGTTCGAGGTTGAAATCGTGACGAAAGAACTACTGGATGCGAGGGATGCCGTCGTTGAGCGACAATCCGAGCTGGTACCGGTCGGGAAACGCGCTACTGATATCTACATCGAGGAGAATACGAAGGCTATCATCCAGACACCGGATGGCAAGTATGTCCCGAATCCGGACTATCAACTCAATCAGACAGCGATAGATGAGGCCGAGGCAAAGAAAGCCGAATACGAGTCGCGCGTCCAGAAGGCGGAAGACTATGTGTCAGAAGTGAAAATGTCATGCCCCCATGCCTGTCTGGGTGGAAAGATGGTGTTTGTGGATCTTGCTGGCTCGGAATACTGCCATGACAAGGGTTCTGTGTCTACAATGCGAACAAAACAGACCCCCCAGGAGCAGCAGGAGAGCCGACAGATCAATACCGATCTTCTTGCCTTGAAAGAAGTCATCCGGGCGATGGCCCGGAAGCAGAGTCGTATTCCCTTCCGCTCATCGCCCCTGACGATGGTTTTGCGCGAACACTTCGTCACGGGCGGCGATGATGGAGTTTCGGCTATGATCCTCACGACGTCGCCTTCGTCGGAGCAGTACAACGCTACAATTGATACGCTCAAGTATGGAAACCTGATTGGGATGGCGGGAGATCGTTAAGGTTCTGGCGAACATTGGCGGTTGCACTCATCTATTCGATGGGCTTACATGAGAGGAACATGTAGATCAGTATCAATCAGTTCGATCGCCTGCATGGCGCACTGTAATCGCATAGTTAGGAAACAAAGTTTGGCACTATAGACCAATGCTCGCTGGGTTTGTGTAACAGCTACTGAAGGCTCAATTGCCTACTTTCACGCACGCCATATCTGTTGCCTAATATCTTTTAGTCCTGTATCGCTGGCACAGTACTTTGAGGACTTCAGCCAACCACTCAAAGTCCTTTCGCTCAAGGTAGACCTGGGCAGAAAGTCTCACCCAAAGCCAGCCCCCATGCTCAACAAAAGGAACAAATGTCCCATGCTCCTCCACCAAAGTAGTTTGGAACCACCTGACCACCGTGCCAGCCTCATCGGCTCTCAAAAGCGTAACAGTAGAATCAGAAGCTGCCAAATCCTCCCTGGACGTGAACGGTAACCGGACTGTGCTCATGGCACATCGCCTAAGATTGCTCTGCTTCCCCGGTTGTAGGTCCCTCTCCTCCATAACATCTGTTCCAAGTGCTGCGGCAACGATATCGGCAGCCTCATTTGCTAATCTCTCCAGGTACTCGTAAATACGGTCTTCGCCACCACAGATCGTCTTGCGGAATTCCAACGCAGCAGGAACACAGAAGTAGGGCGTATCGTCATTGGTAGCGACGAATTCGAAGAGACTCTCAAATGCGCTTTTCGTCATATCGTCACTTTTCATGACAGAAGGGGCCGTCGCAGGAGAGTCTTCAGAGGGGATAAAACCCCAGGAGGTTGGAATGGTGGTTCGAATGAGATGTTGGTTGCGTTTCGGGACATATAGCACACAGCAACTCCGGGGGACGAAAAGCCATCTATTAATCATTTATATGTGAGACTACTGAGGGAGAATCAGAAAGCACAGAACTGAGCAGAAGCTTACTTATGACAATTACTCGTGAAGAAATCCGGCTGCAGCTTCCCGAGATCCAACGGCAGCTGCCCAATACCGTGCGCACCATCAATCAAGCTGAGGATTCCTTCTTTTCGACAAACTTCAGTGAGCCTTTCAAAAGGAAACCGCACAGCTGGCAGGCTAGTCACCACATCAAAAAGGGCAAGCTTCACGTTCAATCCCTCGCTCCGTGCCTCCCGGACGACCTGGAGAAAGCGGTCCACGAGTTTCTCGTGACTAATCGGCATTTCATATCGGACTTTACGAATCTGAGCGGCTCTAGATTCGATAAAGGATACAATGCCTTTTTCGAGAGCGCCGTAGACGGTTTCAAAATAAATGATGACATCATCTGACTTGAAAGGCAAGTTATGCAGGACGGTGTTCACTCCCGTAGTGGCATTTTTGACAAAGACACATTCGCTCCGCGGGACATTCAGTAGCTTGGCGACAGCCTCGCGAGACACATCTAGCTCTTTGGGAGTGGTGTAGCGGATGAATGGATCTGGACGCGCCTCAACTTGATCCTGGAAGTGGCGCAATGCGGTGCGAACCGCTGCAGGATAGGTTCCAAATGAGCCTGGAGTTG